GGGTTTACGCCATTCTCCTGCCTCAGCCTCGCAAGTAGCTGGGACTACAGGCGCCCGCCACATCGCCTGGCTAGTTTTTTGTATTTTTTAGTAGAGACAGGGTTTCACCGTGTTAGCCAGGATGGTCTCGATCTCCTGACCTCGTGATCCGCCCGTCTCGGCCTCCCAAAGTGCTGGGATTACAGGCGTGAGCCACCGTGCCCGGCCAGTTTCTTTTTTTAATGATGTATGATATTCCATTGCATAAATATACTACAGTTTATCCATTTCCTATTAATATTTTGGTTGTTTCCAGTGTTTGACTGTTATGAATAAAACTGCAAATAAAACTGCAGTGAACATTTGTGTATGTTGTTTGGTAGATATTTGCATTTAGTTATCTGGTATATATCAAGGAGTGGAATTGCTGGGTCATCAGGTACGTGTATGTTTAACTAACAGATATTGCCAAATAGTTTCCCCAAAGTTCAACAACCAAATTACATTCCTACTTGCAGTTTCCCCCAGCAATGAGAATGTCAGTTGCCACATCTTGCTCAACACTTATTATTGCCCTGTCAGTCTTGTTAAATTTAGCTATTCTGCTGGGTGTGTATATTGGTAAACTGGTTTTAATTTGCATTTCCCTGTTAAGTAATTATCTTGAGCATCTTTTCATATGCATATTGGCCATTTGGAGATCTTTTGTGAAGTATATTTGTTCAGTCTTTTTTTTTTTTTTTTTTTTTTCCTTAAATTGAGTAGAGACAGGATCTTGCTGTGTTGCGCAGGCTGATCTTCAACTCTTGGCCCAGACAGTCTTCTTCTTAGCCCCCCACAGTGCTGGGATTACAGTTGTGAGCCACTGTGCCTGGCCACTTAATCACTTTTTTTATAATGTTTTTTGATTAATGAAAGTTCTAGTTTTAATGAAATCCAATAAAATACTTCCTTTTTCTTTAACAGTTAATGCTTTTTTTTTTTGGTATTCTGTTCAAGAAATTGTGATCAACACTAAATTCATTAAGATAGTCTATGGTTTTTTTTTTTTTTTTGAGAAGCTTTTATTGTTTTGCTTTTCACAGTATAGGTCTATACTGTGTCTCTAATTTTTGTATGTACTGTGAGGTAGGAATCAAGGTTAATTATTTTCCATATAGATGAACTTGTTGCTCCAGAACTATTTATCAAAAAGACCATGTTTTCTGTTTTTTTTTTTTTTTTTTTTTTTTTTAGACGGAGTCTTGCTCTGTCGCCCAGGCTGGAGTGCAGTGGCCAGATCTCAGCTCACTGCAAGCTCCGCCTCCCGGGTTTACGGCATTCTACAGGCGCCTGCCACCTCGCCCGGCTAGTTTTTTGTATTTTTTTTAGTAGAGACGGGGTTTCACCGGGTTAGCCAGGATGGTCTCGATCTCCTGACCTCGTGATCCGCCCGTCTCGGCCTCCCAAAGTGCTGGGATTACAGGCTTGAGCCACCGCGCCCTGCGGACCATGTTTTCTATGTGAATTTCCCTGGATCCTTTGTCAGAAATCAAGGGATTCTGTATGTGTGAATCTATTTCTGGAGTTTTTTTTTTTTTTTTTTGGTCTATTGATAATATTATTCTGTCCCCATGCCAGCACTTAATTTTAATTATTGTAGTTTGTCCTCTAGCTTTATTTTTCTTGAAGATTATCTTGGTTGTTTGCATTTCCATATTCTTTTTAGAATTGGCCTGTCCGTTCGTTCTTTCTTTTCTTTTCTTTTCTTTTCTTTTCTTTTCTTTTTTCTTTTCTTTTCTCTCTTTCCCTTCCTCCCTTTCCTTCCTCGCCTTCCCATTTTAGAGAGAGGGTCTCGCACTGTTGCTCAGGCTAGAGTGCAGTGGCCTGATCATGACTCATTGTAGCCTCGACCTCTTGGACTCTCTCACACACACACACACACACACACACATACACATATGTATACCACACAACCTGCTGGGATTTTCATTTGGTTTATATAGACTCTATAGATCATTTTGGGGGAGAATTGACATCTTAACATTATAGAGTCTTCTGGATCATGAACATGGAATATTTTCCCATTTATTTAGATTTTCTTAGGAGTGCTGCTTTGTAGTTTTCAGTGTAGAAGTCTTGCACATTTTTCATTAGATTTATTACTATTTATTGGTATTTTCTGATGCTGTTGCAGGTGGTATTTTTTTGACAGTAAATAAATGTTTATTGAACTTTACATAATCATGACAATAAAAACATAATAAGTGAATTTTAATTAAACTGAATTGTTTGCAAAACATATAGTTGGCATCACTGATGTAGTGTCTTATTTTCTTGATTCATTCTTTTTTTTTTTTTGAGATGGAGTTTTGTTCTTGTCACCCAGGCTGGAGTGCAATGGTGCAATCTTGGCTCACTGCAACCTCTGCCTCCTGGGTTCAAGTGATTCTCCTGCCTCAGCCTCCTGAGTATCTGGGATTATAGGTGTGTGCCACCACTCCCGGCTGATTTTTGTATTATTAGTAGAGAAGGGATTTCACCATGTTGGCCAGGTTAGTCTCGAACTCTTGTCCTCTGGTGTTCCACCCACTTTGGCCTTCCAAAGTGCTGGGATTACAGGCATGAGCCACTGCACCCAGCCTGATCCATTCTTTAGTTAAAAAAAATCAATTAACAAATGCGTTTTTAAAAATAAAAATTAAAAAAAATAATTTTAGGAGCCTTCTGATCTTTTTTGAGGTATATCTTACCTACAGTAAAATACAGAGATCTTAAGTATGCAGTTTGATGAGTTTTTTCCCTAAATATCCGTTCATGTGGCTGCCACCCAGATCGAAATATAGGACATTTCCAGTACCTTCAAGTCTCTTCCCAGCCAGTCCTAGCCTCTTCTTTGTAGGTAACACTGTTACTGAGAAGGCTTTTGTTTACAAATATTTTGTGTCATTATTTGAAACTGAAGAAGTAATTGCTTAAATTATTATAAAATGAGTATTTTCAGTAGAAGTGATAAAGGATATTGTTTTTTGTGTTGATGTTAACTGGGGTTAAACCGTGATATTTATATGTCTTAGTCTGTTCTGTGGTGTTATAACAAAATACCTGACACTGTAATTTATGAATAGAAATTTATTTCTCATATTTCTGGAGGCTGAAATCTTCAAGATCCAGGTGCTGATAGGTTCAGTTGTCTGGTGAGGGCCGTGTCCTCCAGAGGGGAGGAATGCTGTGTCCTCACATGGTGGAAGGTGAAGAGGCAAGCCAGTGGAATGTTGCTAACACCTCTTTTTTTTTTCTTTTCTTTTTTTTTTTGAGATGGAGTTTTGCTCTGTTGCCCAGACTGAGTGCAGTGGCACGATGTCAGCTCACTGCAGCCTCTGCCTCCCAGGTTCAAGCGATTCTCCTGCCTCAGCCTCCTGAGTATTTGGGATTACAGGCATGTGCCACCATGCTCGGCAAATTTTTGTATTTTTGGTAGAGATGGGGTTTCACCATGTTGGCCAGGCTGGTCTTGAACTCCTGACCTCAAGTGATCTGCCCACTTCAGCCTCCCAAAGTACTGGGATAATAGGCGTGAGCTACCACGCCAGGCCTAACGCCTCTTGTATATGGTCCTTAATCTCATTCACAAGTGGAGGAGCCCTCATGACCTAATCACCTCTTCAAGACATCACCTCTTAATGCTGTTCATATTTGGCAATACCTGAATTTTGGTGGGGACACATTCAAACTATAGCACCAGGAGCATTATTCTCTTTTCCACTTCGTGGGGGATATAATTTGACCAGTGTTGTAAAGTTGTATAGTGAGAAGCTCACTAGTGAGGTTTTTGGTATGTATATTTAATTGCCCTAGTGAATGTTCCTTTGATCAATCTTTCTTGTTAACACTTCCAAATATACTTACTGCTTCTAGCACAGTAGACTATCTCCAGCAAAAATCTATTTATCAGGTGTTTTGGTTAGTGGTAAAAAATTGAGAAATTGAGGTTGGGGAAAAATTGACAGTAGAAAGGTGGGAAAGATTGGACTCTAGCAATAGTCTAATTTTGTACGTTAAGTAGTGAACCTAGCACATATCAGATGTTTAGTAAGTAAGTGATAAATATGAAACCACAAGTCCAGTCATGTCAGAAGATATCTGCTTGGTTTTCCAAAAGTGTGAATTATTTCCTGCTTTTAGTTTTTTCCTATAGTGGTTGATTGAGGTACACACACAGACGAGCATTATATGCATGCGCATATACATATATGTTTTTAAAACTTTTAAATTGGAGCATAATGTAACTTAGAGAAAAATGCACTAATTATAATATATAAAAATTTCACAAAGTGAAATATTTGTTTACTAGAGTCCCCTTTGTGCTTTCTCCCATTCACTCCTCTCCCCAAAAGTAACCAGTATCCTCACTGCTAACACTGCAGATAAGTATGTAAATGTAATAACATAATATGTGCTGTATTCATCTGACTTCTTTTTCTCAGCATCAGGTTTATGTTATCTATTCATATTGTGTAGGGAGCAATAATTATTTCATTCTCATTGCTGTCGTATAGTACTCAGCTTAGGGGAAACTTAATCTGCTGTATTTTTTTCTTCTTAAAGTGGCTTTAATGTAGGGTTGGGGTGGCTTTCCTAATTGTCAGAAACTGCTTGCTGCCTGGAGGCTGCTGGGAAGGAGGAACATGTTCTTCTAGGAACCAGTGAATCAACTTGGTGGTGAAGAAGCTACCTCCATACATTTCCCCTGTGCCTTCTGAAATGTATTTACTTTTGCTAGTAGAAAGTTGTTGATTTTTCAGGTTTGTTTTTTAGGGTTATATAGTAACAGTAATAGCTAGCATATATTGAGCTTTATATTAGGTACAAGTACTATGCAAAGTGATTTCCTTAAATTACCTGTTTTTATTTTCATGAGAACTGATGTTTTATTAATGTTCTGGAGAGTGAGGTCTTGGTCGGTGCGAGTGAACACATCCTTTAAACGTATGTTAGGCTGTGGCCTCCATTATCTAACTGCTTATTCTTTTCATGTGTAGGTATGTCATTGATGGTGCCACTGCTCTTTGGTGTGCAGCTGGAGCAGGACATTTTGAAGTTGTTAAACTTCTAGTCAGCCATGGAGCCAACGTGAATCATACCACAGTAACTAATTCAACCCCCCTGCGGGCAGCATGCTTTGATGGCAGACTGGACATTGTGAAATACTTGGTTGAAAATAATGCCAACATCAGCATTGCCAACAAATATGACAACACCTGCCTAATGATTGCAGCATATAAGGGACACACTGATGTGGTCAGATACCTTTTAGAACAACGTGCTGATCCCAATGCTAAAGCACATTGTGGAGCCACAGCATTGCACTTTGCAGCTGAAGCTGGGCACATAGATATTGTGAAAGAGCTGATAAAATGGCGTGCTGCTATAGTAGTGAATGGCCATGGGATGACGCCATTGAAAGTAGCTGCCGAAAGCTGTAAAGCTGATGTCGTTGAACTGTTGCTCTCTCATGCTGATTGTGACCGAAGAAGTCGGATTGAAGCTTTGGAACTCTTGGGTGCCTCCTTTGCAAATGACCGTGAGAACTATGACATCATAAAGACATACCACTATCTATATTTAGCCATGTTAGAGAGGTTTCAAGATGGTGATAACATTCTCGAAAAAGAGGTTCTTCCACCAATCCATGCTTATGGGAATAGAACTGAATGTAGAAATCCTCAGGAACTGGAGTCCATTCGGCAAGACAGAGATGCTCTTCATATGGAAGGCCTTATAGTTCGGGAACGGATTTTAGGTGCTGACAATATTGATGTTTCTCATCCCATCATTTACAGGGGAGCTGTTTATGCGGATAACATGGAATTTGAGCAGTGTATCAAGTTGTGGCTTCACGCCCTGCACCTCAGACAAAAAGGTAACAGGAACACCCACAAGGATCTTCTTCGATTTGCTCAAGTTTTCTCACAAATGATACATTTGAATGAAACTGTGAAGGCCCCAGACATAGAATGTGTTTTGAGATGCAGTGTTTTGGAAATAGAACAAAGTATGAACAGAGTGAAAAATATATCAGATGCTGATGTCCACAATGCTATGGACAATTATGAATGTAATCTCTATACCTTTCTGTATTTAGTATGCATCTCTACCAAAACACAGTGCAGCGAAGAAGATCAGTGCAAAATTAACAAGCAGATATACAACCTGATTCACCTTGATCCCAGAACTCGTGAAGGTTTCACCTTGTTGCATCTGGCTGTCAATTCCAATACTCCGGTTGATGATTTCCACACCAATGACGTCTGCAGCTTTCCAAACGCACTTGTCACAAAGCTCCTACTGGACTGTGGTGCAGAGGTGAATGCCGTGGACAATGAGGGAAACAGTGCCCTTCATATTATCGTTCAGTACAACAGGCCCATCAGTGATTTTTTGACCTTGCACTCCATCATCATTAGCCTAGTTGAAGCTGGAGCTCACACTGACATGACGAATAAACAGAATAAGACTCCGCTAGACAAAAGTACAACTGGGGTATCTGAAATACTACTTAAAACTCAAATGAAGATGAGTCTCAAGTGCCTGGCTGCCCGAGCAGTTCGGGCTAATGACATTAACTACCAAGACCAGATCCCCAGAACTCTTGAAGAGTTTGTTGGATTTCATTAAGTGACTGGATATGTAAAGTCGTTTAATGTGGTGCTAAAAAGTAAAGGACTTTAATCACAGACAGTAGAATTATGTGTTCATAAATTCTGCTTTTCTTTCCACTACCCTTCTTCCCATCCCATCCTTCCTTAGTTCTGTATTTGTTTTTCTTGCCTCATGGTAATTGATTTCAGACAGACTTTAAACAAAGCCACATGGTTTTGGTGTAACGATAAGGTATTTGGATATTGGTCACTTATTTGTCTTTTTTTTTTTTTTAAAGGAACAGATATAAAATGTTTTGTTTATGTAACAAGGGACATTTATAATTTCAAGTTGATAATGTTTTAAACAGCTGCTTACAAAAGTATTTCTGTTAAGCCTATGTCAGCATGTTATCCATGCAGCAGTTTTGAGGATTTTATGAAGAAAAAGAGCTAAAAAGGAACATTAAAAGGAATGGGATATCCAGGTGTTCTGCACATGCCAAACTGCTGTAGATAGTTTTCACTCTTCCATTATTTATACGGAGTGATGCAGCACATTTTAGCATTCAGGAGGATTTTTAAAAAATAGCTGCAGATTAATCTGGAAAATATGCTAATTTAATAGTTACAAATTTGTAAAGTTAAATCCATTTGAAATTGTTGCATTATGCTGGGTAGTATATACAAAATGGTTATCATGTTAAACCAACTTTTCAGAGAATCTTGATGGACTCTGCCTTTAGGCTTGAATTCTTCAAAGTCTGTTTTAATGAAATTTATCTAAATTGCAGCAGTCTATTTGATTCAGCTCATAGACATGTAAAAATTATGAATGCTGTTTTCTTATGAAACAAATTGTCACAGTGTAGCTATACATTCTATTTTTGTCCCCTTTTCCCTTTTCCTCCTATATCTTTTAAAATTTGGAAACTACTTTTCCAGAAGGCATTATTTGTGCCTCCCTAATAAGGTATTTTTATTTATGACAGATGAAAAGGAACCAGGATATTTTTGAATTTTTTCACTTTCTTAGTCTGTGACAAGAAGTAGAAATATCACTAGTGTGGTATAGGAAATTACGTGTTTTTTATGATAAAAATAATTCTTAATGCCACTTGAAAGGTAATTTTGTCTGAGAGCTGCAAATTTTTCAACCACAAAATGTCACTTATTCCTACAGGCTATACAGAGGTCTTTATGGTTTTTTGGTTTTGTTTTGTTTTAATGGCAACATTTTAACTGTCAAACTAAAAGGGTATTCTGTGATTATCTTTTAAGCATTACAAAAATTCAAGTGAAAGTTATACGCTTATTTCTATTGATGTTAAAAATGATAATGAAAGCAAAATTAGCTGTATCTGTAATTTTCTCTCTAGTGCCAAATGAATGCCTTAGCTACTCATAGTGCATGGTACTGTAAGTGAAGACCTGCAGCTTCTTTTTTTTTCCTTTAATGAAAAGCATTATAATGATGTAGCAGCATCAGATATAAACTTAAAAAAAAAATAAGGTTTCAATTAACACTTTATGTATGGATAATGCTTTGTAAAGTATAAGAGAAAGGTTGCAGTTGGATCAGTATAAAACAATGACCAAGCCAAAATCAGCACCTAGGGCCTTAAATAAAATAGAAATACCCCACAAAATGAAATATTTTGAAGGGTGGGAGGGGACAGAAGGGGGGACTATCCCCCAAGGATGCAAGATACTTTTTACAGTTGCTATCATTATACTTTGTGTGTCTTCTTGCTTCAGTTAGGAATGTTTTCATGGTAAATTCTGTCATGGTAATAGATTTCTATTTTCCTAACCTGAGATTTTACAAGGAAGGTTTTTAGGTTGACTTAAACGGAGGTATTTGAGTGAGCCCTAATTTAAAAATTACCAGACTTGATCCTCCTGGTATGAGTCAAGGAAATACTATACCTTGCTCTTAGCAACTCTCAGTGGCCTGAAAGAGAAAATGCTCTTCTTCAAGGTGAGTGAATCATGCTTTTTCCACAGTTCAGATCAGACCCTTTATTTTTCAAACTACAAGGCCTGCTTATTGGACAGTCTAAGGAATAGCTTTGATACTTGGTATTCAGTTGGTTCCATTATTAATGTATATTATTTTTATTTAAACATCAAAACTTAAAATATCAGATAATGTTGCATGTTTTAAAAACACATTTCATCCCTTTGGCTACCCAGGACCAGCACTATTTAAGACACTGCTTATTTATAAAATGAGGATAATGATTATATGTACATATTCAGACATCAAAATTTAATGACATTTTATTTTGAGAAGGGAAGACAATGCTGGAGAAAGTAAAACTGTTGATTGAAATGCTGACAGGTTGGAGAACGAATTTGAAGACAGTGGAATAAACTATGAACTATGCTAATGGTAATTAGATTTTTTTTTTTGTTTGTTTAGTATAGTGGTAAATTGTGTAGTATCCTGCTGAGAATCTAATTCTATCTTGTAAAATCCAAATGTGTATTGTGAAACACTTGTATAAAATCATTTTTGAAATAAGTGATCTACATGCCTGTTTTTTTAAAAATGTTTTTGGTAGAATTGTTTTAAAATATGTTTAGCCAGACCCTTCCCCAACTTAATTTTTTTTTTTAAAAAGGAAAATAGATAAGAAAATGATAGTTCTATATCTTAGCCCTCTGTGAACTCTAGGCTGTCTCCATTTTGCAGCCACTTTGGTCATTTGATGTTTACTATTGGTATACGTATGCTTTGAATTGTATCTCTTCATTGATGGTATTACAGATTCAACCAAAACTTCTCTGTCCTGTTCGGTAATAGTTATATAAATCTGGATGAGCTAGGGAGGCCCAGGTGGATGTTTTCATTCGCAAATCATGAGAAGCTTAAGTGGGTTTTATGCACTTGATAGAGTTGGCAAAATTGAGCTATTGAGTTTAAGTTAACTATTTAACTCAAGGAATGGGCAGCAAACCCATCCCCTCAATTGATAAAGAAGGGGGAACGTTTTTACATTAGAACTGACACTGACAGCATAGCTTTTTCAGTCCACCCTGGTTGCTCTAGTAGGCCACAGCCCAATCATGTTAAGGTTCTTTGCTGTGGGAATTTTAAATAAACCAAACCCAAAAGCAGACCATCTGTAAGCTTTGGTCTGCTTGTTTCTGAGAAGGGTTTTATTTCATTATACTAATAGTGGACTAACAATTGGTAATTGTGAGAACTTAGGTATGATAGCATTGTTTGAAGTAAAATATGATTTGGGGGCAGCAGCTTTCTAAATACCAACTCTGTTTGACAAATGTTTTGAAAATTGAAATTTCAAGGGAGCAACACCCTGTTAAGAGTTTCCACTATAGTTGAGGCAGCTACTTTATGAATAAGACCACTTTGGGTTGTTTAAGCAGAAGCATTTCTTTTTTTTTGGAATGGGGTGGGGTGAGGAGTGAGTTGCCAGACCTTTGATTACAGTTTGCTGGTTTAGAAACAGCCATTCAGTGGCTGAATTAGTGAATAGATGAATGAAAGTATAAAGGACTTGTTTTTTTATGGTAGATTATCTGTAAGAATCTTAAATGTTCCTTTTCAGATTAGTCAGATGTGTTGATGCACACATGACTATTCTGTTTTTCTCACTGACTGTACTATAACATTAAAAAGGGGTAAAGAAAACAAAACTCTGCCTTTTGTGCTATGAAACATTTTTAGTCCAGAGGTTTTAAGCTATGTGTCCATTCCTGCTCTGAAAATGCATAGCTTTTTCTGGATGTCATCTCTTGAAAGTAGAAAACTCCTATGTGTGTATCACATTGCAGGGCTTTCTTATGTGTTTCTGGCAGACTTTCCCAAATCTTTAGATGGACTGGGTTGTACAGCATGCCCTCCCCCAAATATGGGATCTGAAATAAATACTACACTATTGATAGTGGAGATATATTAATTTTTAAAACTGTAAAGTAAATGTGGTCTCTAGTCTAGTTTGTGGTGTGTACCTTTGTGTTAATGTATAGGGAAGAGACAATGACTTGATGGTTATGGGGAGTAGTATCTTGATGTGTGTACAGGGGTAAGTATTGCTAAATTATTAACAGCTTTTATTCAGGGTGAGTCATGTGATGAATGGCCTAATCAGAAAAATGAAGGAGCGAAGATGCAAGCTTGCCAAGTGATGAAACGAACACGATTTTATATCTATTTTTTATCAGGTGTTGTAAAATTTGTGCATGGCTTTTTTTTGTGGTTGCTTAGTAACTGGTAGAGAAGAAAAGATGAGGAAAGAAACTCAGCTTTCCTCACTAATCTTTTCAGAGGTACACAGTTAGGGAGTAAAATCTGACTGGCCTAATCGATGGAAAAGACCCTGTCCTTTTCACCCCATCCTGCAATCCTCCGTGTAGAGGAACTACATTGTTGTATTCTAGTAATTCACTGTGATTTATAACAAACCAGTGATGTCATTCTATTGTGCACTTTTGTCAAACCATTTATGTGACTTTAATAAACATAGTAAACTTGCTGATTGCACCAGAGGTCCATTAGTGATTTATATATTGCATGACATTTTCTATTTGAGTTTGACATGTAGAGTCATTTTTAGTTTCATGGCAATTGACAGTCCTAATAACTCAGCTAATTTGAAACTAACAATCTTGCTGTGTAAAAGGAAAAAATGGTGTTTGTGTTCAGTAAATGTTTGAAAAAAACTACTTTGAGGTTTGTGTCTTTATTATTCAGTGTGCCTTAGTTGCGATGTTCTTTTGTTGAGTGCCTTAAAGTTGTCAAAGTTATATATGTGCACGGGAAAAAATTCAAATAGTAAAGAAAAATTCAAATATATTTTTTTAAAGTTCCCTTTTCATCTCTCCCCGCCTCCCATTTGGACTCTGCAGAGACAATCACTATTAATAGTTTTTTGAGTAGCTTCCCAGAATGTTTCTGTGCACATATGTATTATTTCTCCTTTTCAGTTTTTAAAATGCAACACTATTCTGTATCTTATCTTTTTCATGTAATATATCTTAGGCATTTTTCATTTCTATATGTATAGATTTTTAAAACAACTTCATAGCATTTAATTCTGTTGATGGATTGAAAATGTATTTAACTAGATTGTATTGATGGACTTTAGGTTTTCAGTTTGTGATATTTCAAATAATGATGCAGTCAACATCCTTAAGTACAATACTTATAGGACATATTCATTCCTAGCACTGGAACTTGGTTTAGTGACTACTTAAAATCTTGACAGAAGTTACCAAATTGCCTTCCATCTCTCTGCATCTTTATTGACATCAGATATTACTTAATCATTTAGTTTTTTCAAAGTTGTGATTAATGAAAAATAGTATTTCATGGTTTGATTTGTGCGCCTTTATTATGAGTAACGTTGAACACTTTCATATATTTATTGACTATGTTTGCCTTGGGGTTGTGTGTTTTTTTTTTTTTCCCTACTTGTTAGAAGTTCCTTAGAAGTTTGAGTACATTTTCTCTGTCATATAATAGTTGCAGTTTATTTACTTTATGGTACTTCTGTATCCAAAGTTTACATTTTTCTATAGTCAAATTTATCACAATTAAAAAAAATGGAGTCTTGAGTGTTAGATCCTGCTTGTAAGGCTGTCTCTATTCCAAGTTGTATGTCTTTTTTTTTCACCAATGACCTATTTGAAAGAGACACTTTTATGGCTTCCCTTCCCTTCTTTCTCCTTCTCTTCTTTGGTTTAAAATTTTGATTTTCCTAGAATTTGTTTGGTTTTTTGTTTGTTTGTTTGTTTTTTGAGACATGATCTCACTCTATCACCCAGGCTGGAGAGTGCAGTGGTGCCATCATGGCTCACTGTAGCCTTGATCTTCTGGGCTCAAGTGATCCTCTGACCTCAGCCTCCCAAGTAGCTGGGACTACAGGTATGTGCCACCATGCCCAGCTAATTCTTTTTTTGGGGGGTGTTTTTTGTAGAGATGGGGTTTTGCCATGATGCCTAGGCTGGTATTGAACTCCTGGGCACAAGCAGTCCTCCCACCTCAGCCTCCCAAAGTGTTGGGATTACAGACATAAGCCACCACACCTGGCCTTGGACTAGTATTTCTTCATTTGTCTTATTTAAGTGGAGAGGTGGGAGTAGCTAACTTTTTTCATTATTATATGTTTATTTTTCCAGATGAAGTTTGGTGTCATCATGTTAAGAGATTATTTCGTTTAGCATTGAATTAACAGATTTAGGGACATCTTTGCAGTTCTGCATTTCTGAACCTTTTTTTTAATCGAAAAGAAAGCTGTGTCTGGTTAAGTAAAGCATACACCTCTATCCAGAATTTTTTTTTTTTTTTTTAGGTTTTTCTTTTTAATGAAGGTCTTACAACTATTTTCCTTTTATTAGCACTGCATACTTCTAAATATTGTTTTTACAAAAGCACTGTACTTTTTTTTTTTTTTTTTAAGAAATACATTTTCAGTTACTTCTTTTGGATGTCCCAGATACACTCATCATTTGCAAGTAACAGTAATTTGGCCTTCTCATTTCCAGCATTCACACCTCAGGAGAGTATTAAAGGGTGGTATTGGAGCACACCCTCAGGACATGTTTGTTTTCAAATTTAGATTCTGAGTGGCCATTCCATTCTCTATAGAGGTCTGAAAAAAACAGTGCAGCCCTCTCATTTTATAGTTCAGGACACAAACCCAAAAAGGCTGCACAAGGACTAAGTGTGTCATAACCGAGAGTGGGCTCTGGGTCTCTTGACCCACTGAGCAGTGCTCCTTCACTCTGAGATGCCAGTACTAGGGAAGCTCACCTTCAGATCTCTGCTGGGTCACTCCCCGGCTGCAATACCTAGTGAGACCACGGAAATCATCCAGACAGGTTTTAAAACATTTTTTTCTTTGTTTCAAGTAGTGTCTGCTGTATGACAGATGACTAAAGAAAATACTGGCAGTACTATATTCCTTCAGATACTTGACCTAGAACATTTCAGTATGAGAGAGGCAAACTTTAGATGGTTCAGAAAACCTTAGCTTGTTGGCAAGTTTAGACAAAAATACATTTTCTAATTTGCCTGTGCTTTAAAACTTTGGTGTGCTCAGTCCATCAGAGGGGAGGACTGGGGTTTTGCTTTTGCCTTAAACAACGGCAAGATACTCTTGCAAACTGGTGCTTCCTGAACACCTACTGTATTTCAGGCACTGCACCACAGATAACGCATACAAAAATAAGAGACCAGCCTGGGCAACAAAGTGAGACCCCCTTTCTACACAAAATTTTTTTAAAACTTAGCTGGGCATGGTGGTGCACGTCTGTAGTCCCAGCTACTCGAGAGGCTGAGGTGGGAGGATCACTGAAGTCCAGGAGGTCGAGGCTGCAGTGAGCTGTGATTGTGCCACTGCACTCTAGCCTGGGTGACAGGACGAGACCCTGTCCCAAAAATAAAAATAAGAAAGATGGTCTCTGTCCTTGATAAGCTTGTTTTCCAGTTAGATGCACCTATTTGAAATTTGATTTTCTGTATTTCCTCTAATTCTCTACACAAAAACAAGTTATTTTTTGACTCTGGCTTGGGCCACCTTCTGAAAACATTTCAGACACATCACTAAGTTGCTGCACATCTTTTTAAATACAGTGCCAGGGAGATAGTCCAGGAGTTTGAGACCAGTCTGGGCAACATGGCAAGACCCTGTCTCTACAAAAAATACAAAAATTAGCTGGGTGTGGTGTGTGCCTGTAGTCCCAGCTACTTGGGAAACTGAGGTGGGATCGCTTGACCCTGAGAGGCAGAGGTTGCAGTGAGCTGTGATGGAGCCGCTGCACTCCAGCCTGGGCGACAGAGCGAGACACTCTCAAAACAAACCATGCAAAGCTGATTAGAAAGGGTAAGTCCCTCAATGATAGTGCTCCTCCTTTAAAAATAACTTCCTGCTTGTACTCTACTTTGGACTTGGTAAGTTTGCTAGGTACAGTTTAGCATACATCTTACTGAAAAGTTTTAGAGTCCAGGTGCAAGGCTTATAATTCTCTCTTCATGCTAAATCAGCAAGGCTCTGTTCCTACTTCAGTTTCAGTTTTGGAACATGCTGTCCTATTTTAGCATGATGTTGAAACTAATTGAATAGACAGTGACACAAAAGCACTCTGCAGATTTTAATGTGGCCAATTAGGCCTGGCTGTCCTTTGAGAAAAGAATCTAGTTGATGTTAACACTAACATAAAGATAGTTTGGGAGGTGTTTTTTTTTTTTTTTTTTTGTCACAAGGAGTGCAGAATAAAAGGCTGGAACCACATTAGCTAGCTGAAGGTAAAAGCAAAGACCAGTATGGTGTTGAATAAAAACGGGACCATTCATACTAATGGCTGTATTTAAGTCACCCAAGGCACATTTGGGTGGTGGGGAGACTGCTTGTTGGGGGTGAGGCATGGGTGCAGTGAGCTATGCCAGGAAAGGAACATGATTAAGCCAGCGGTCTCCATTACAGGCTGCTTGGCATCCTGGGCTTGAAGCCAGGGGACTGACTCAAGTCTAGTGTCTTATTCTCAGACAATATTGATGCTAAAACCTTTTGAATACTGATGGAGGTAGCAGTTTATCTTGTGAAGACCTCTAGGGATGGAAAGGTCCACACCATCTTCCAGAAGCTCTTCCACATGTCCCTGGGCAGAGCTGTTCCATAGTGTCTCTGTTGTGTTTGCACTAGCACTTTGCTCTTTTCATCTAGATACCTGTCATGTTAAGAAACATCACCTTCCTTAACAAAAGTAAAACCCAGAAACTCCGCTGGGGTTTTTGCTGATTTTCTTTGCTGGCTGCCACCAAGATAGTCCTCAGCACAGCTGAAGGGCATCTAAAGACAGGCCTGAGAAACTGACGTTGAAGATTAGAGAATAGCAGAATATTACTATAATATTATAGCAGAATATTATAGCTGTTATGTAATATTAAATCCAGATCGCTGTTCTATAAGTTTAATGTGCTTAGAATTACCTCATAGAACTTGGATCTGTGAAGTCCGAGGAGGAACTTAGGCGTCTGTGGTCTGACTGAGGCAGTCCTGAGACCACTCTTGGAGAAGCTCAGCTCTGCAGAGATCATCTGCTTTATGAGGCACAATGGGCTTGGGCACAACCCCCTCTTTCTTCATCTTCTAGCTTGGATATTCACTTACCTGTTGGTGACAACTCTCAGCCATTAGAGTCATCTAGGGACGTTGGAAACAAATTTGGCCCCTCTCCCAACCAGTGAAATTGGGATCCATAGTGGGTCGGGCCCTTGCAGTGGTCACTTTGAAAGCTCCCAGGTGGTTCTAAGGTGCAGCCAGGATTGAGAAACACTGTTAGCATAGACTTTGCTCCCTATAAGATGCATCTTTGTTTGCTCTACCAGGCACTCTTAAGGCTCATATTGGACATTTATACTTCAGAGTAAATAGATTCAGAAAGGGAGACTTGATAACAGAAATTGAGAGGCCAAGGGTCTTGATACAACTCTCAGTTTGCCTACCTTTTGACCACTTAGTTGGTCTTGGTGTAGGTCTGGGGAAGGGTGTGAAGGGACTGTGGAGTTCTGGAATAAGGGCTGCCTGCCTCTGACTGCGAGTCCAGAGGTTGCAATTCAGTGACCTCTGGGCTGCATTTGACCAGCAGGTACATTCTGTTTGGCCTGCACTGTGGTCACAGGTAGCAGTTTTTAAAAATATGAATGCAAACCTCTAAAAATCAGGTTTTCCATAAGAGCATTCTCTCAGATCTGACGGTATTTGATGGAAGACTTGGTGCTAAATCAAACAATGCACTTCTGAATGGGGGTTCATTAGTTCTTATTTAGCCAGGTTACCCCATTCATAAGAGTGACGACTGAAATGGAATATGATTTAGCAACATTTCCTTCTGATTCTATTAGAAGGCAATGGGTTTTGATACTCAAATTTTAGTTTCACCATTTTCACCTTTTGCTGCACATCAAGCCCTTCTGAGGCTGTGCTCGGATGACAGAATCTGCCTTGGGAGATAGCAGTCCTAGGTTTAGTTTTGGTTTTGCTGTGGGAGCCTAGGGCTCTCTCTGGTTCTCAGTGTCCTCATTTATGCAAAAACAAGATCAAATTATTTCCACGGTTCTACTTATTGGGATTCCAAGACATGAATGGCACAAGAACAGAATGGAGACACCTTGGTTGAAGTCAGAGTGTAAAAGGGTTAACAATGAAACTGGCCTGGAGAAGTCTGGGAGGCGTGAGAGGGAAGAGCTGGAACCAAGGGCAGAAGCTACAGTGAAACATTTGGGTCCTGACCGTCCACACTGGCCATAGATGGAAGGGCGATCTTGGGAGAGAGAGCACTCCACCCCTGGGGACGCCACACAGAAGCCAGGCAGCCACTTGGAGGGCATGTTGTGGGCAGCAAATAGCAGATGAGTCCCTTCCGACATGTAGGGGGGAGGAAGCAAGGAACCCCCTCAGCTACTTCCTCTCCTTCAAAGCGGAGTGTGGCTCACTGTGATGTGCTCTGCCCACAGAATGGGATGTCAGTGCTTGGTTGTTTTTAAACACTGTATTTTTAATTTTTCAAAAATATTTACGACAGTAAAGGTCGTACTGTGCACGGGGGACAGATGCCTTCGATGTGTCCCCCTTTCATTTCTACCTCAAAACAAGGTTAAGGCATAAATTACTCCGCTGGGCACCAGGCATGCCCCTTGTCCTTGGGGCATTATCACTGGTCATACCACTTGTCCTGGGGGCTGGCGGATGAGATATTTGCCACCGAGGCTGCACAGGCTCCGGGAGTCCTTGCACGCGCTTTATTCAGTGCATTCCAGAGGGCACCCCTCAACAGCGCTGGCCAAGCCCTTCCCTGTGCACTGGTTGGCATAAGGGAAGGATGGGAGGCAGTGTGTGTGTGTAGGGAGGGGCTGATACAGGGAGGGGAGGCTCCCCACCCCTACACCTGCTGCCCAGCTGCAGCCGGGCCAGTGCGTCCATGTCTAGGGGCAGCCTGCAGCAAGAAGACATGTGGGTATGCACAGCCCCAGGGATTGTGTCATCCACATGCTTCCCATGAGGTACCTGGGAACAAAAGTGGCCTGGGAGGGTTGGCAGCTGAGAGCAAGGGGCCACAATTGGTGGGGGAATGTGTGAGTTGCGGTCAACGTGAATGCACGTGGGTGCAGAGCCCGGCTGCCTCTCATCTCAGGGCAGCATCCAGTATCCTGGTCCCACTTGCCTGGCCATCAGTCTCCGCATCTCAGAGCCTTTCTTCATCCCTGGCTCGCAGCTGTCGCCATCAAGCCCTTGGGCTTGGGTTCATTCTTCGGGAGCCCCAGGGGCCTATCTATGGGGAAGGGAGTGGGTATGACTTGGGAGCCAATGGAGGGGTGGGAAGGGTGAGAGAAAAGGGCAGACTTCAGATCTGTTCTGTCTTGGGTCCTTCTGGAACTAGAGGCCTGGAGAGTGCAGATTGGGTTCGTATTTACAGTCTTCCTCCCTGGGTTTCTTTGAAGGATGGGGATAATTACGAATTCCTAGCACCTTAGTAGCTGGGGCAGCAAATGCCCTCCAGAGAGCCTGAGGGACGCCTTGGCGTGGGCCTGGGTGTGTGTGTGGGGGTGTGTCCCTTTAAATCCCTAGGAGTCTGTGTTGAAGGTGTCCCAGCCTCCCAGCAGGGCAGTTCCACTGAAAACCAGCTTGAGTTCCATTCTGGAGGGAGCAGGCGCCATTGCTCAGGAGATGAGGTCAAGTGCAAAGCCAGCTGGCTTCCTCTCCGCTCCAGCTCGGTGGGGCCACAGGCCTGGGTCTGAACACTGCCTGGACAGGTGTCCTGGCCCCCATCAACTCAAAGTCTCCTCTGGAGCCTCACTCCAGCACTTTGGGGGTGGGGTCCAGACCAGGCTCCCTCCTGCGCCTGGCACTTTTAAAGAAGCCGAGCTGTGAGGAAGCAAAGGGAGACATCTCAGAGGAGGACAGGGTGGACAAGGCCTACCCCTGCTTTCCCTCCACTACCCTTCCTCGAGATTCCTCCCTCAGGGCTTCCTTGAGTACCCCAGCTCCTTCTGAGCACCCCCTCCTCCAGAACTGCCTCTGTGGACTGGAACACAGTGGATGAGACCATGGGCGGCATACAAGAAGTCATGCTGGCTCCCACACCTTGCTGTGTGACCAGCCCCAGCCAACATCCCTCTCTGGGCCTCCTTCATCTGTAGCAGGAGGAGGCTGAGACAAGGGGTTTGTAACCAGAGCTTCAGAGACAGAGATGGACTTTGGGAGGTTTGTTAACAGCTTGACATTGTTGGAGAAATTTTGTGCAGTTGTTTGTACTTGCTTTTTTTTTTTTTTTTCTTTCTCTATTAATAGGAACCTTAGTTCTCATCAGGTTCTCGAAGGCACCCACAGATAGGTCAGAGCCGTAGTCTGAGTGCCCTGTGTTGGCCCTAACCAATGTGTCTGCTGTGGTGAGGGGGTGGGGTGCCAGGTCCCTTGGAGAGGAGAACATGGCAGCGGCCACAAAGCTCCAGGGGCTGGAGCCTGAGCCCACCAGCCAGGATGCTGCTCCTTCCCTCCCCTGCAGGGGCCCTCACCTTCCACAGTGCCAGGACCAGCAGGGCCAGCAGCAGGAGGCCCCCCAGGGTGCTGCCCACAATGATCCAGATGGGGACCTGCCAGTCCTCTTGCTTGGAGATCTCAAACACGATCTGCAAAGGGACGGGGGCCAGGCCAACAGCATTACTGTTCTGGGGCTGGGGTGGCAGCCTGGGACGGGCAGGAGGGTGGAGATAGCTGGCACCTGGTGGGGGAGCTGCATCCTCTTCCTCAGGGGGATGCCAGAAGGATGGGTGGACAGGCCAGCCGAGGCCTCAGGATGACCAGCATCCGAACAGCCGACACTGGGTTCAGTGGCCCAGATGATCCTACCTCCTTGAAACACTTGCTGCCTTTGGCCTCAGGCCCCACCACTCCCTGGATCCTCCTCCCACCACATGGGCTACTCCTTCTCCCTTTGCTGCCTCCGCATCGCCTCCCGCACTTCTAAAGGTCAGTGTGTCCCACGGTTCAGTCCTGGCACCTCTTCTTTTTCTAGAGTCACTTCCTGGGTGAACTCAGGGCTGACTTTCCCACGAGTCACGGTAGGCATGGTGCCAAGGCCCATAACACTTTTAGGAGCCCACGAAAATGTTTACATTTCTTTTAAAATTAGAGGAAAAAATGGAATAGAATCCAGCTTGGATAACATTTTTTTGTCTTTGTGCCAACACAGTTATAAACCATAATTTTAAATATTTTTTTCCCGTGGAGAAAGGCGTCTCAAAGGCAAAAGTGGCCAGGGCTGGGAAGGTCAGAAAGCAAGTCCAGGCCAGCTCCCTCAGTCCTGTGGCTATCACCGTCTACACGCTGACTGCTCTCACATTTCTGTCTTCCGCCTGGATTCTCCACTGAATTCCAGGCTCATACCGACTGTCTCCTGGCCTGCCTGGCAACTGTAACAGGCCCCTAACCAAGCTCTTAACACCCCAGCCCCTCAAGCCTGCTCCTTCCAGTTCTCTCTCACCTAAGCAAATGGCAGCACTATCCCTCCACACTGCTTAGGCCAGAAGCCACCTATCCATCACTGACCCTAACTCTCACCCACACGGAGCCCAGCAACAAAATCTGTCCACTCTATCTTGGAAACACCTGAAATGTGGCCACTCCTCCCACCTCCTGGACCTGAGCGCCCTCACATCTCCTCTGGAGACTACAGCGCTGCCCGACTGCCTCCCCTCTGCAGTCTGCTCTCAGCACAGCAGCTAGAGGGATCCTTCTAACCAGGAAGGCAGGCCCAGGCTCTGCTCTGCTCAAGCTCGCTCAGAGTAAAAAGTGCAGTCCCGGCCCTGGCCTGCAAGGCCTTCCCCTCTCTGGTCCCACCTGTCTTGCTGACCTCACCTCCTGCTCCCTCTCACTCTACTCTAGACTCCGGCCACCTGGCCTCCAACATGCATGCCATGGCGTGCCTGCTGCAGGCACTGCTATTCCCTCTGCCTGCAAGGGTTTTCCTCACACAGCCGCAAGACATTTCTGTCTTCCTCATGGTCTCTGTCTGATGTCACTTTATTGGAAAGGCTTTTCCCACCTCCCCTGTATAAAACAGCGCCCCCTGGCACTCCACCCTTAGATGTGTGCCTTTTTCTGGGTGGCCCTTATCACCAGTTGACAATGTTTATATTTATGTTTATTGCCTGCCTAGAATGTCAGCTGTAGGAGAGCGGGGGTGTTGTTTTGTCCCTGCTCTATCCTCAGAACCTGGAACTGTGCCGGGAATGTAGCAGGAGCTCAGCTAACATGTGGAGTGAACGGACCACCCGCAACAGCAGACAGGGCCCTGCTTTGGCCACTGACTCGCTGTTCAACTTGAGGCGAGTCACTGTCCCTCCTGACTCATCTCACATGCCTCGGTGTGCATACCTGAGAGATGGGGGTGGCGACAGTGCCTCACAGTGTTGTGAGGTCTGTCACCGTGTTCGGCACACAGCTGGGGGCCAGCAAATGGCAGGGCCCTTATGTGTGCTCTTTCTGTCCCTCAAGGCGGGTACCTGGCTATGCCTCCCCAGCGCTGGCACCTAGCACAGAGCCCAGCATACAGGGGCTTAATTTCGGGGTTGCTGGATTTCTAAAAGAGAAGTGAGGCATCTACAGAGTATAAGAGGAATTTTTTGGGAGGTTGAGTGGGGGTGGAAGAAGGAAAAGTCACGTAAAAGACAACCATCAATGTGAGAAGAAGGGTTCTCTCTTTCTCTCTCTGTCTCTCTGTCTCTCTCAATCTCTGTATGTGCAGGGTATATGTGTGTGTGGGGGTGCCTGTACCATACCTCCCTCTCTTGGATGCCAGGAACATTCCAGCATCTTTCAAGATGCGGTTCAAACAGTCTCCAGAAAGCTTTCCAGGGACATCTCTCGCTCTGAACCGCTCCCCCTGGACCTGTGCTCACCCCCAGACTGCGCTCACCCCCAGACTTCACTCACCTGTTTATTGTCACTGTTCCCCTGCCTGCCTAATTTATCTCTGTTTCCCCTTTTGGGGCCGAAGGAGTCATAGGAGAGACACCCAACAAATGCCAAATGAATGAACACACAACACAGCTCCTTAGGTGGATCCTGATACCCCTCTGCCTGGCATCCCTCCGCCCTATTGTGATTGGTTTTTGTTGGATTGTTTTATAAGGGATGCTTCCTGACCCCGCCTCTTTGCTCTCCAGCATCTCCCTGGGGTCGAGATGGGAGCTTACTCCGCCTCTGTAACAGGAACACTCGCCTGGAGCCCAGGCTGGCATTTCTGGGGTGTGGCCAGTGGAGGGCAGCAGCGTCCCACGCCCGGCTGTCCTGTCTATTTCCACAGGACTGGGCTTTGCTTGCTTGCTTTCTTTCACAAATGTATTTCTTTTCTTTTTTCTTCCTTTGCTACTTCTTCCAGGAATGGGCTTTTCTTTAAGACCTCATTTCTCGTTGGGTCTCACACAGAGTCTCACTCCTTTCCCGGACCCCGAATGAAGCCAGTGTGATCTGTAACAATCTGCTTTTACCCAACTAATAAAGAGGCCAATACCGAGGCATCTCCCATCCTTTGGTCTTCACAAACTCAGTTCACATTAGACCTCTGGACCTTACCTAGTGTTGCCCCTGAGGCCCATTTGTCTTGCTTTTTCCCCTCTCCTCAGCGGCCGCCCTAACAGCCCTCAGGTCTGCCTAATTCTCTCCTGCTGGGACATGCAGCCAGGGGTTGTAGGAAAACTCTAGAGGAGTGCGGCCAACCCTTTCCCAAGCTGTCTGGCCTAAGCCCAGTTCTGCAGGGCTCCCAGGGACTCACCTGACGGCTGGGATCCTCCTCACGGAAGATGAAGGGGCTGTGGAACTGCCTCTGCAAGGCTGCGTTGACCATGATTTTCATGGATTTGTATTTGAGCTGTGCAATCAGAGGGCTCATCAGAAGCTGGCCTAGAAGCTTTTCTTCCCGTCCCCTCCCCAGGCAGCCCCAGGTGGAAGACATCCCAACAGCCACCCCCTTTCCCTTCTTCCTTCCAGCGCAGCCCAGGGGCTCTACTTACTGCTTTTAGGGACCTCAACCACAGGTTCCCCAGTAGATGGAAATTGATTTCCTGGTTGGGGGCCAGCCGTATATTGCAATTGATGGAGACGACATCAGAGTTGCTGTGATTCTGAAAGAGAAGATGGGTTTCAGGGCTGAGCTGCTGGGCTAGGGGAGCAGGGGGCGGCAACACTGCTTGAATGACTGGGGCTCTGCTCCTGGGGGCAGACGCAGAGGACAGGGGACAAGGAGAAATTTGGGAGTGGGGGACATGTGCACTGTGCCTGCCAGGGGATGACTGAAGGACAAATGAAGGACGGTATATCTGATGCTCCAGTTGAAGCTGTGCATTGTGACCGGCCTGGGTATATTCCAGGGACAGAACTTTGGTTCAACATTAGGGAATCTATAAATGTTTCCCATTCACCATATAAACACATTAAGATAAAAAATTCTTTGTAGTCCCAGCTACTCGGGAGGCTGAGACAGGAGAATGGCCTAAACCCGGGAGGCGGAGCTTGCAGTGAGCTGAGATCACGCCACTGCACTCCAGCCTGGGCTACAGAGCGAGACTCCGTCTCAAAAAAAAAAAAAAAAATTCTATGATCACTGCAACAGATGCAGAAAAAGTATTTTAGGAAGTCCAACTTCTGTTCATGATAAAAACTCCCAGGGAACTTCCTGAATCAGATAAAAGGGGTCTTCATAAAGTTCATGGAAAATGTGTATTACGGAAAAACTATGCATGGATTCCAAAACTTTTTTTGCACCAAAATAAACTCATATTAACTTGTTGTAACCTATGTGAACATGATCCAGTTTGAGGCACTAAGAAGGACAAGACATCAGTTTGAAAACAGCCCCTATCAGAGCAACATGAATTCTGCTAAAATTGAAGCAAAAACAAACATCAAATTTATGGCGAAACTTGAGTGGAAGAACAGTGAAATCATTGATGCGTTATAAAAAGTTGATGGGGATGATATCACAAAGAAATCAGCAGTTTGCAAATGGATAACTTGTTTTAAGAAGGGACTAGAGGGCCGGGTGTGGTGGCTCACGCCTGTAATCCAAGCACTTTGGGAGGCTGAAGCAGGCAGATCACAAGGTCAGGAGACTGAGACCATCCTGGCTAACACAGTAAAACCCCGTCTCTATTAAAAAAAATACAAACAGTTAGCCAGGTGTGATGGCATGTGCCTGTAATCCCAACTACTTGGGAGGCTGAGGCAGGAGAATCACTTGAACCCAGGAGACGGAGGTTGCAGTGAACTGAGATCACACTATTGCGCTCCAGCTGGGTGACTGAGGAAGACTCAGTCTCAAAAAAAAAAAAAAAAAAAAAAGAAAAAAAAGGAGGGGTTAGAGGACATTGACACTGAAGATGGAGCTTGCAGCAGATCATTCATATCAATTTGTGAGGAAAAAAATAATCTCGTTCAGGCCCTCATTGAAGAAGCCTGACAATTAACAGCAGAACCATTAGCCACTATATAACCACTATAGACATCTCAGTTGGCTTAGTTGACATCATTCTGACTGAAAAATTAAAGTTGAGCAAAATTTCCTCTTGACGGGTGCCCAATCTGTTGCACCCAGATCAGCTGCAGAAAAGAGCAGAACTTTCAATGGAAATTTTAAACAAGTGGCATCAAGATCCTGAAGCATTTCTTCAAAGAATTATAACAGATAAAAGGTGGCTTTGCCAGTACCATCCTGAAGACAAAGCACAAAAAAAGCAGTGGCTACCAAGAGGTGGATGTGGTCCAGCCAAAGCAAACGCAGATCAGTCAAGAGCAAAGGTCATGGCAACAGTTTTTCGGAATGGTCAGAACATTTTGCTTGTTGACTTTCTGGAGGGCCAAAGAAAGAGAACATCTGGTTATTACGACAGTGTTGTGAGAAAGTTAGCCAAAGCTTTAGCAGAAAAATGGCTGGGAAAATGTCGCCAGAGAGTCCTTCTCCACCGTGACAATGCTCCTGCTCGCTCCTCTCAAAGGAATTTCAAAAAGTTTGTGGAAAAATGGAATTAAAAGATAAAAATTAAAAATTAAATTTTACTTCTCAACATAAGCTCCATCAAGTTCAAAACACTTTTGTAAGCCATGATACCAACCATTCAGTCCATTCTTAAATGACTAAGCATCCTGGGAATTTAACCATGTCAATGCAGTCCTTTTTTTTTTTGAGACAGAGTCTTGCTCTGTTGCCCAGGCTAGAGTAGAGTGGCACGATCTCGGCTCACTGCAACTTCTGCCACCTGGGTTCAAGCGATTCTCTTGCCTCAGCCTCCCAAGTAGCTGGGACTACAGACGCACGCCACCACACCTAGCTAATTTTTGTACGTTTAGTAGAGATGGGGTTTCACTATGCGGGCCAGGCTGGTCTCGAGCTCCTGACCTCATGATCCACCTGCCTCGGCCCCCCCAAAGTGCTTGGACAACAGGCACGAGCCACTGTGCATGGCCTAATGCAGTGTTTTTTAACATTATTAACTGAGGAAAAATGGGTGTCCTTTAAATATATTTTTTTAAGATTTAACAAACCAAAAGAAGTTAGAAGGAACCAAACCAGGACTGGAAGGTGGATACCTAATGATTTTGAAATCCCCTCATGTGGGAAGCCTATAGCAATGATCATATTTAACAATCAAAATAAAAATAAATTCCTTTAAGTCATCATGATTAAGGTAATCCTGATGATTCTGTCATCATCATATCTATTTACCATTGCAGAAAAATGGTTAGGAGGTCTTAGCTAGAGTAATACCACAAGATCATTTATAATATAAGGATTAAGCGGAGAAGCTAACGTTGATGGGAAACCCAATTTTCAAACAGAATTTATTAGGTGAAAGTTGCTAGTGTTGCTGCCTCCCTGCCCACCTCAACCCCAATGCAGCCCAAATCTTTGGCAAAGCACGCTACCCTCAATAAGTGTTTTGTCGGGGGCACTTGTCTGGGGGAAGTAAAACTAAAACAGCGAAGATTGTTGTCTGGGTAAAGAGCCGTGGAAGCAGGGTGAGAAACTGGTATCTGGAGGCAGAGGCAACCCTGAGAAAGCAAACTGGAAATGAGCAGGTGTTTTGGGAGGGCCGTGGAAATTGAAGCTGATCTGCATTCCATCTCTAAGGCAGGAGGCCCCAGCTGATGCGGCCAAATGTCTCCAGTACAAGCCACGTGTGTGTTCCGCTGTTCCGCTTCTCTCTGCTTCTCTGTATCCTATGGGCCCGCTTGGCCCAGGTGCAAGTCCACTGTCCCCACCTCTTTCTGCTCGTTTGCCTGGCACACCGCAGGCTGTGACCTTGGCTTCTCAGACACTCACTCTGTGGGTTTGTCCCTCTCCCTGTGAGATGGGGGACTCACACAGGCCAAGAAGTCTTTTCCTCCTTCAGTTTTTTCTTGGTTTGGGGCTGGGTACATCTAGGTGCTCAGTAAGCTCTTATTGACAAGCTGTTGGATCAGGAGGGAAATGGCCCCGGAGCGCTGGTGGCACGCTTCTAACCCCAACCACTGTGGCTCTCTGCATGGGGGGCACTCACCAGCTGCGGAGCGCGACTCAAGTCTTCCTCCATTGGGGTGGGCCGGTACTCAGTGCTGTTTCCCCAGATGTTACAGGACGTGTTCGCCTACATAAAGGACACGGACACACACACACACAGCCTCACAACCAGCTCTGGCAGACGCAGGTTCCCAGAGATGTTTCTTTTCTCCTCCTCTAGCCCTGACCCTGGAGAAGGGAGCTGGGGTCTGGGAACCTGGGGACACACGTAGGGGGAATGTCTGTCTCCTTCTGGTCCCCTTCCCTGAGCCGGCGCCCAAGGGCATCGGTACCTGGTCGGTGAGGAAGTCCCTCAGCTTCAGCAGGCGGTTGCCGCCCCTGGTGGCGATGGGAATGGTGATCTTCATCATCACCCCGTGGATGGGGAACAAGCCCAAGTTCTGGATCTGTGGCCAGAGACGGTGGGGGGTGTCAGTACAGTCAGTTCAGGGGGCCGGAAAACAAGGTCCACAGGGGCCAACCAGCCCCTGGGGGTGACAATTCCCCCACCAGGCCTGGGAAAAAGGCCCACTCAAGGTCCCTGGTGTTTTCGCTGTGGAAGCTCCTACGCTCTGTCCAATTGTGGCTGGGGACTGCACAGACGAGTGCAAGAAAGTCTGAGAGGGGAGGGGTGGCTGGAAGCTGAAGACAAGCCAGTGGGGATCCAGAGGCCGGAGAGCAGGGGCCACCTCCATTTTCTTTTCTTTTCTTTTTTTTTATGAGACTGAGTCTCGCTGTATCACCCAGGCTGGAGTGCAGGGGCGCGATCTCGGCTCACTGCAAGCTCCGCCTCCCGGGTTCACACCATTCTCCCACTTCAGCCTCCCGAGTAGCTGGGACTACAGGCGCCCGCCACCTCACCCAGCTAATTTTTTTTTTTTTTGTAGTTTCAGTAGAGATGGGGTTTCACCGTGTTAGCCAGGATGGTCTCGATCTCCTGACCTCGTGATCTGCCTGCCCCAGCCTCCCAAAGTGCTGGGATTACAGGCGTGAGCCACTGTGCCCAGTCCACCTGCATTTTCAACTCTTTTTGGCTGGGGTGGGATTTTGTAGAGGCCAGGGGTGAAGACGGTGACAGCAATTAATGCATTATGAGATGGAATCATTAATTAACAAAGGATGTATTACTAAATAGCGAGTGTGTGATTGTTCACATTCTAGCAGTGTCACATTTAGTGCCAGAGCAGCAGTGATTCTAAGCAGGAGTTTGGAATCAGAAAGACCAGGAATCTAATCCTGGGCCCTCACTACCTATGAGCTCAGTGGCCCTGAGCAGCTTACTAGGCCTCTCTTGAACAAGCCATGCAGGGCTCAGTGTGTCTGAAGTCCAGTATCCAGCTGTCAACCTGTCCTCAGCTTTCACGCAGCCTAGGAGAAGTTGATAAACTTACAGCAGTTCAGGGTTGAGGGCGCTATCAGGGCCCACTGTAGCAGAGGCTGCTGAATTGCCTCCTAACTCTCATTCTCCCTTTTTCCTTAGTGACAGAACTGAGACTAAAAGCCACATTTCCCAGCCTCCCTTACAGCTGAATCACAATGTTCTGGATAAAGAGAGGTCACTGGAAGAGTGAGGAACTGCCAGGGAGGTCCCTTAATAAAGAGGGAGCATGCTCTTCTCCCCTTCCTCCTTCCTGCTGCCTGGAATGAGAACGTGATGGCTGCAGCTGCCATCACGTTCTCGTTTGTGAGGCAAACTGGAGGCTGGCAAGTTCACGCCGAGGATGGTGGAATAGAAGACCCACTCCTGGATGACTCTGTGAAGCTGCCAACTCTGGACTTCTTTTATGGGAGAGAGTAAACCCTAGTGTGTTTAAACAACTGTTTAAAAAATGTTTTAAAGAATTTTAGGCAACCACACCCTATCTTCACCCACATGTCTCCCACTGCAGTCCAGTTGTTTTTCAGAAGACTGAGAGGCCCAGAGAGGGGCGGTGACGTGCCTAAAGTCGCACAGTGGGTGGGTGGCAGGGTTGAGACTGGACTCCGGGCACTAGTGATGATTCCACATTCCTCCCCTCCGGGATGGGGGTGCTCGGATCCCATCGTTCCCCCTCCACCCGGCTCCCCTCCGGCCTCACCCTGAAGATGCAGCTGAAGGGAGGCCCGATACCATCGTATCTCTCCAGCGAGCTATTGGGCTTGACCTCGTAGTGGCTCAGGCTGCTCCTCCTGCAAAGACAGAGGACAGGGCTGTCGTGAGCTCAGTCAGTGCTGGCTGGAATGACAGATGAATGAAAGAGGGAGACGGCATGTGCCGGCCTCCCCCGGGCCACAAAAAACAGGTTCCCTCTTGTGTCAGTTGGGAGTGAGTGTCATGTTGGAAGGATTCTGAGCCTTCGCAGGAATCAGCGCTGCCATGGGTGAGCAATGTCTGCCTCCTGAGTGGGTGGGCGTGAGTCAGAAGAGCCAGTTATTTCATCCCTGCCCCAGCCTGTTTGCCTAGGGGTGTAGCTGCTTTTCGGAGCGACCGTGCCACTGTGCTGCCTTCCACCCTCTAGGGATGGCTGGCGTGGGAGGGCCTGAGCTTCCTCTTCGTATCTGCTGTTCTGCCCTGACTTCTCCATCTGCCTGTGAGCTCTCAGAGGACAGGGGCTGTTTCCTCCGTCCGATTGGGGGCCAGAAGCGCACCAAGGGGGCGGGGGTGGGAGCAGTCTTTCTTTTGGGGAGGAGTCTTTTCCCACTGACGTTGTTTAGATGTGCTGGCGTAAGATGATAATAAAAAGCAGATTGACTTATGACAGATATTATTACTGTTTTTAAATTCTCTACAGACCATGCATCCAGTTGTTGCCTATGTCAGGGCTGGACGCCTCCCACTGCCCCCACCCTCCCTTCTTGCCCCTGCTGGGAGCTCCCCAGGGCCAGGCCTGTGTCTCCTCCTTCCTCTATTTTGATTTCCCCTCCCGATATTGGATGGGGAGCTGCACTCTCTGACCCATCAGGGTCACTCTTGGCTCCATCCATAGTCCCTTAGTGCGGGCGTCTGGCCCTATTAGGGCTCATCAGAGGGTACCCCCCCCTTAGGCCTCCATCCTCCCACTCTCCATGCCTTCCCTCTCCTGGGGCCCCTGGAGCCCGGCCCACCTGGTGAAGAGGACGTCAGCCTCGTATTTGAGGTGGAAGCGTAGGGGGGCCACGTTGTCTTCCTTGGTGCTGTCCCGCTCGTTACTGTCACTGCAGGGAGAGCCAGGCAGCAGGGTGAGGAAGGGGTTCAGCACAGGCAGCGGGAAGGGTCTGAGGCAGACTGTGGAAGGAGCACGCTGGCTTATCTGGGGCTGATGGGCACCAGACAGGTCAGACAGGAAACCTGAGGCGTCTCCTAGGAGAGGAAGGGCCAGAAGTGGGGATGGATGACACCAGCTCTACCTGCTGCCCCTTTAGGTGGAGTCAGGGGAGGGCTCTGGACTGGATCTGGGAGGCCTGTGCCTGGCCTGGCATGGACGGGACCCCAGCCTGTTTGCCTCCCTCACCGGGCTGCCCGTCTGTCAGGCGGGCCAATCCTGCTGCCTGCTGGATTCTCAGGGTCTGTGGGAGACGACACCTGTGGCAAAGGCTCGCCCACGGAGGAGGGATGGTGAGGAGTCGTTCATTTATCCCTGGACTGACCGGGGGCAGCTCCTACAGGGCGGCCAGGGGCACTCTGCTGCCATGAGAAGGCTGGGAGTGAAATTCACAGACATCTTCAGGGGGCTTCTGTCCAGTGTACCTCCCTTCATATCTGAGCAACATGAACTACTGGGGCAAATAATTTTAGACATAAAAACGTACGATTCTTGCTTGCTACATAGACTGAGTTTGATTCCCTTTGGAAGCCTTACCCCAGGATAGGGGTTTGGTTAGAAAAGGGAGACCCACCACACACAGATGTGCCCCCAGAGCCCCCTCTTACACACACCTAGTTCTCAGACACCGCCCACAGCTGTGCCAGAGACACTGCTCTGCAAGTGCGCGCTCATTTCTCCCGTGAAGACGGGACTGGGTTTTCTAAGAGCGGGGCAGAGCGCAAGGGAGGCCTTGCCAAGTTTGCCACGTGGCGTGTGAGAATTCTACCACAACGCGCAATTCATTTAACTGTAGCTGGGACGTGAGCACATGTGGGGTGTGAGTACCCAGTGCTTCTGTGACCTCTGACCTGCATGTGTGTGTGCTGCAATGTTAGTGTTCGGTTTGTCTGGGGTATTTATTTCTTAGCTAAGGATTTTTGCCATTTGTAAGGCTCCACAGTGGACAGAATCCCACTGTCCTTCCCCACATAGAGGTAATTCTGCACAAAAGAGACATGTATTTACTACTGACACAAAGTGATTCATGGTGTCAGCATATAGCAAGCTACCTCCGAGAGACCTGGGAGACAGACAGACAGACAGACAGGAAGACCCACACAGAGTAAGAAAAGGCCTCTTAAAAATGGGAGAGAGGTGACTAGGACAGGAAGAGCCCTGGATGGGGAATAGGATGAGTAGTGTTCAGCTTCCAGCTGCACAATTCACTGCTGTGTGTCCTTGGGAAATTCACTCACCCTCTCTGAGCCTCTCTTTTCTTAACTTGGAAGATGGTGTGGGGAATAACCCCTGCTTTGATGATCTTAAGGGGCCTCTGTGAGGACTGAGATTTTTGCCTGTACAATGCTTTATAACCGTAGGGTTTGTGAATTACTACTGTATACAGGGTTGTCTAAAAGTAAAGGGCTGACATTATTATTTATCATCCAAAGAATGAAGAGTGGTGGCAACACAAGGGGCAGCAGGTTGGCCCACACCTGCAACAGATGCCAGCTCCCCTCCCCACCCCGTTCCCTCCACTCAAGGTTGGGGCAGTGAGGGACAGGGCGTGGGGCGGCGGACTCAGTGTTGGGAGGAGCAGTCGCTAGCAGCCAGAGAACTGGGCCCCAGAGTAGCAAGCTTGGGGGAGAAGGAGCAGGCACGGCCCTGACCTGCCTGCAGCGAGCTCGATCTCCAGGTGGTGTAGGAAGATGGATTTGCTGAACTCAAAATCAAGACGGAAAGCCACCTGCAAGGAAGCGGTCACATGTCTGGGCATTGCCAGGACCAGCCCCGCCCACTCCCCACAGCCCACTTCCCACAGCCCCCTGCCTGGCTTGGGGAGGGAGAGCTTGCTAGGGGGTTGGGGAACTGCTGGCTGGGAACAGGCTGGGAAAGGAGGACCAGGTGCTAGAGAACGTGAGCTGAGCTTCAGGGCTGCTGTGGGGACACAGCCAAAGACAACAGCTCCCACAGTGGGGTTTCTCGGGGCTGAGCCAGACTCCTCCCTCTTCCTCTTCTTTTGTTTTTAACGAAAGGCAACCAGAAAGCAGCAAGTCCAGCTCCAGACTCTGTCTGCAGGATTTTTAGGGTAGGGGGCCTTGATGGCAGGAAGGGCCGACGGCCATTACAGGATGTAGGGGCCAGAGCGTTTGGTAGGAGCGCCTCACCCACCTCTTCTTTGTGCGTGATGGGGAGGGGATGGCCCGGAGAGGGATGAGGGCCAGTGGCCACCCAGCAGGCCAACAAGGCGTCTGCCCCTTGTCTGGCAGTGCTCCTGCCACACTGCTGACCTGGGCCCTGATGCTCCCCCTGCCCTTTGCCCCGCGGTGGGGAAACACGCGACCCTCCTCGCCTCCTCCCCGCCTCGCCTGGGGGCATTACTGGGACTTTGCACAGACACCTGCTGCTCTCCCAGGTCTCACCCTCACGAGGTGAGGAGACCTCAGCGGCCCCTTCTCCGTAGCAGTGGCTGGGCATGGGTGGGGAAGCCTGGGCTGTGTCCTGCTCCATCCCCACTCCAGAGCTCCTGGGTTTGTCGGTGCCTCAAACCAGAAACTACACCTTCGACTTGTTTCTCACCAGGGAGGTGCTTTGCTAAGGAGCTCTCATCCCCGCTCCTATTTCTTCCACTTTCCCCAGCCGTGCAGACCCTGCTCCCGGGAGCACTGCTGCTGCCTAGCTGGCTCCTGCCACGGCTCCTCTCTGATTCCCAAGTCCAAGCAGCTTGGCTTCAATTAGATCTTCTCCTGCTCCAGAACCTTCTGTGGCTGCCCACTGTCCAGGGCTGATATCCAAACACTCCCTGCAATCTGGTGTCTCCCTCCCTTTCCCAGCTACTTTGCTTCTCCCTTCACACACCCACCCTCTATTCATATGAGCTCTTAAGCACAGTTGGGTGGTAGGTGCTCACGAAATGGTAGTTTCTCTCCCCATCCCTCCCCATACACAGCACAGTGGCAGAGGCCAGAAATCTGAAAAACTTCTGAGGGTGCAGAACAGTGGGACTGGCTAAGGGCAGGTGGGAGACTAGTGGCTGGGAGTGGTAGGAATTCTCTCTGAGTTAATGGATGGGCTGCTAGCCTGGGGATGGCTGGCTAATTTGGTCACTTGCATGTCATTTCATGAGAGAAAAGACAAATAAAAGCCACCTCAGGTCTCCCACCCCCACTTGGTCTTCTGTTCACTCCTGTTGCTCTTGCCTCCCTCCCCAAACTCCCTGTGCCTCCCAGTGCCCACCCTGGCCCTTCCCGACTGTCCCCAGCCTCAACCTTGGCCTTGGCCCTGAAGAAGGGGTAGCTGACGTTGCAGACTTTCTTCTGGAGCCTCCTCTCCTCGTTCACGCACTCGATGTTACCGTCCGAGTCCTCCTGGAGGTGGGTGGCAGACATCATGGCAGCAGTTAGGCAGGGCCTGGGACCAGGTCTGGAGGCTCCCTTACCCCCAGCCTCCACCCCCTTCCGCAGGGACTGCCTCAGCCCCTGCTACCCATACGGGGAAGCCCGGACCGCAGCCCTTCTGACGTGTGAGATCCCAGAGGCCCCAGAGGCTGGGGTGTGACTTGGTTCCTGGTACTTGGCTTCACATGGGGCGGGACACACTCAGAGGCTGTCGGGCGGTGGCAGGAGAATGGCAGGGGCTCATGTATGCGTCTCATTTTGTTCATCTGTTAAATGGGGATGACAGTAACTATCTCATCTAGTTGTTATGAGGATTACATGACGCAATGCACATAAATGCAGCGCCTATCCCATGTCCTGCCTATTGTCATCACTCGTATGTGGCAGCTACTATTAGGATGATTATTTGTCCCTACTGTGGGCTCTGCACTGTTGGGCATTACCTGGGCACACAGCTGTGCATGTCTCTGGGCATGCATGCACCCATGTGGGTGTGAGCCTGTGTCTGTGGAGACTCTGTGTGTGTCTGCGTGTCAGTGCATGTGTGTGCATGTACCTGCTGCATGTATACAGAGCATGTGCGTTTCCCTGGACGAATATGTAGGCATTGTGTTTTTGCATGTGTGTGCAAAAAGTGTGTGCCCAGCTCTGGACACAGACATGGCTAAGACAAGGCTCTTGGCCCCTGGGAGTTGAGGGTTTCAAGAGGCCAGCACTTGGAGACTGATGTTTCTTCAGAGCACATGAAGGGCTGTGCCAGATGCTGTGCGGGCTGGAGGGCCACCTGTGGCCTTGGAGAGCTTCCGGAAAGATACCCCAGAGAGCAGGGCTGAGGACTATCCTTTATCACAAAGTGCAGTCTCAGGCGCCAGCTGTGGGGCAGGAATTCCGCTCTGCTGCTCACCAGCTGTGTGGTCCCAGGCAGGCCTTAATACCTCCCTATGCCTCAGTTTCCTCCTCTGTAAAATGGGGAAGCCACCATCACCACTACCACCACCACTACTGCTATGCCCGAGGCTTCTGCAAGGGTTAAATGTACGCCAAGTGCTAGCACAGCGCTGGACGCCATGAGTGGGCAATACGTGGATGGTCACCAAGTAGGAACAGGAGCCTATCGGGCAGAGGAGAGAGGAGTCCCAGGTGGGGGTCATGGTGGGAACGAGCAGGGTGTGCTGGGTACAAGATGGCCCGTGGCAGGGTTAGGGGAGAAGCGGCAGGAGGTGGATGGGATGGGCCTTGAATGCCACAATGAGGAGTCTGGAGTTTGTTCTGACAGCAGCTGGGAGTGATCAGAAGTTTTAACGTGGGGAGGAACTGGTTCTGATTCTTGTCAGAAGGACCTTCCGAGCAAGCCCGCAGGGTGCACTGTTGGTAGAAGGTGTGGATGGCTGGTGGCACATGCGTGGTGTGTGTGCACCTCACCAGGGCCCAGGAGACAGGCTGAAGGGTATTCCTCTCCATGTTCCCAACGGGCTCAGACTCTCCTGGTGCTGGTGGTTCTCAGCCCTGCCTGCACACTGAAGTCACCAAGGAAGCTTTAAAAACCTCCTGACACTAGGCCCAAACCCAGAGCAAATCAGTTAGGACCTCCAGAGAAGGAGTCTGGGGGCAGGCTTTTTAAAGCTCTCTTGTGATTCTTTTTTATTTAGTTTTATATTTTTATAGAGATGAGGTCTCACTATGTTGCCCAGGCTGGTCTCAAACTCCTGGGCTCAAGTGGTCCTCCCACCTCAGCCTCCCAAAGTGCTAGGATTACAGGCATGAGCCACTGCACCCAGCTTTCTTGTGATTCTAACACGCAGCCCGGACCCCACCTGGCCTTCCTTTTCCTCTGTGCCAGGCAGTCTGGGCAGGTTGCTGAGGTCTTACCTTCTGGATCAAGCTGGCAAACTGCAGGTTTGCTGACTGTGAGATATTTAGGACTGTGCTGTAGGCATTCTCGCCCCTGTTCTCCAGTGTGGCCTCCACTGCCACTCGCCGGCGTGTGCTCTCTATGATGAAAACTGTGGTGTCGAAGGACAGTGTGTATGCGGAGCACTCCTGCGCAGGCTTCCTCAGCACCCTCTGGCAGTACTCCCTGAGAACAAGAGAGCACCAGAGATTGGGCAGATGGAATGAGGAAAGAAGGGGTAGAGAGGAGCCCCAGGGTTGGGGCAAAAAGCTGAATCTGGGCACTTGAATGGCCTCTGCTCATGGGAATAGCCACTGGGAGAAGAGGGGAAATGGATGGCAAGGCTGGAAAGAGCTCACCCTTCAAGACCGCTTCCTATTTCGAAGGCCCTTGGTGTCCCCACCATAGAGATCATACCCTCCACTGAACCCAGAGCTCTTATTTGACCTCACCACTCATGCATCACCACTCCATGCATCCTGTTTTCCTTTTGGCCTTGGCTGCCAGGAAGCTCAGCACTAATGTAGAGATAATCCTTATTTTAGCCTAGCTGGTTAGAATATGTGCTCCATTATCCTTCTACAAGTTTTGAGTGTGCTATTTCTCTTTATTGTCTATGTCATGGTATATATCTTTTCTATCTAAATCATCTCATAGTTGGATCAAAGTTGAGCATAAATTATTGGAAAATATGTTACATAAATTAAGAATACGACATTGTTGATTATTTTCCCTGGTATGTTCGTTTGTCTCTTCCAGGGGATTGTGGGTCCCCTGCTTCCCCTCTGCTGGTGTCCCTGGCATCTTTCCATCAGAAGGATTGGAAGGCCCAAGGTGTTCAGCCAGCAGGCTCTAGAAGTCACCTCATCTGGGGGCTGAAGGACAAGCACCCAGAACTCTGAGTCCCCTGTCTCTACCTTTCATCTAGTTTGTAATGTGGGCTCTGAAGAAAGGGTTTCTTTTTTTAACAAAATTTGAGATTAGATTAGACTAGTAGTTTCATATTACAGAGGTGACTTTCCTGAGGTTATGCAGGAGTTGGAGGTAGAGCCTGGGCTAGAACACAGGCTCCAAGTCAAGTGTTTGATCCACTCTGCCCGTGAGGAGGACGTCCAGGAAACAATCCAGGGCCCCAGGAGCCTCAGAACCTCTGACAGTGAAGGGGAAGGGGCGAGGGTGGGGGTGGAAGGAGCCAACTCACATGGCCGTGGGCAGGTCACTCCGGGCATCCAGCACAAGGTCAGGGACACAGTGCTCATCCTCATTGCAGCCGTTCCAGAAGGGCACCTGGGCCAGGGAGAGCCAGGTGTGGGCACCTGGGTAGGGACCCGCAGCCCCTCGCCCTCAAAGTCCACCAGCATTTGTCTCTACCACACTAGACATGTGCTGGCTTTCCTGCACTGTCCCCAGACACCACACTGCTCTTTCTTGGGCTTTTCCATAGATGCTTCCCTCTTTAAAACGAGGCTCAAAACTCAGCTTCTCCTGGTTCCCCTCCAGTTCATAACTGAGCTGATAGCACAGAACCCCCACCCCCACTCACCCAGCAGAGCAGTTCTGGTCAACATTTATTGATCATCTACTGTGTGTGGGCAAGGGCTTTGGTACTGGGGATATGAAACAAGGAAGACGCAGCTTCTACCCTCAGCTCATGGGGAAGATTGGTGTATGAACAAATAACTAGTATAAAATGTGCGAAAAATCCAAAAAGAAGTGCATGAGGAATAGAAGAGGCAAAGAGGAGAAACAGCTGTTTTGGCCTGTAGGAAGTCAGGGAAGGCTTCAAGGAAGTGACAGTGGGTCAGAGTTCTGAAGGACCGTCAAGGTAGCTGGGTGGACCGGGGTGGAGGTGGCGAAGTCCAGGAGGAAGGAGAGCCTGATGCAGAGGCCCTGGGGCAGGAGCAGGACTGAGTCGGAAATGATGAGTGGGTCGGTGTTGCTGTGATAAGAGGCACAGGGGTGAGATAGAGGAAGAGATGGTCATGGGCCTGTGTTTACAGGGCCTTGGGGTCATGTCTTGCAACTGGTAGGAGTTACCGAATGCCTCAGGCAATGAGTGTCCTGACAGACCTGCATACTGAAGGCTGCCCTGGCTGCTGTGGGAGAATGGAGTGAGAAGATGGAGGCTCGAGGCAGGGAGGCCATTGAGGAGGCTGCCGCAACATTCAGGCAAGAGGTGATGCTGGTGTTGGTGCGGTAGTGGGCATGAGAGGAGAAAATAGGTTACTGACCCCAGAGGCGGGATCAATAGGAACCTGGAGGTTGTCGGGGCTGAGGGAGAAAGGGGTCCAGGGTGTCGGCTGAGTTTCTTTTTTATGTGTCTGGAAGGATGATCATGGCATTCAGTAATAAAAGCAGGGGTTGGCCGGGCGCGATGGCTCACGCCTGTAATCCCAGCACTGTGGGAGGCCGAGACAGGCAGATCACCTGAGGTCAGGAGTTCGAGACCAACCTGGCCAACATGGTGAAACTTTGTCTCTGCTAAAAAATACAAAAATTAGCCAGGCGTGGTGGCGCACGCCTGTAGTCCCAGCTACTCGGGGGACTGAGGCAGAAGAATCCCTTGAACTCGGGAGGCAGAGGCTGCAGTGAGCCGAGATCGCGCCACTATACTCCAGCCTGGGCGAAGTGCCTGTGGTCCACCGGGGGCGAGGACCTCAGCAGGCAGCTGGATATTCAAGCCTGGAGCTGAGGGGCGGTAACTGTCACTACCAACAACACAGCCCAAACCAGGGACGAGGAGTCACAGAGTCATGTGTATCTTAAATTTATTACCTTTTCTCGAAGGAGAGCTCTCTGGCCCTCACTCAGATCCATGCGCTCTTGCTTTAGGCATGGATCTACCCATCTCGCCCCTCAGCTCCCCACCGCAAGGTGGATCTGCAGCTAGAAGTAGGCCGACTGCAATGGCAGCCAGTGAAGCCATATCCAAGGGTCGCCGTGGAGCCGTTGGGAAAGGAACTTAGTTCCGGATGGGGGCTTTACGGCATTCTAGCACCAAAGTTCATCCTGGTGACTTCAAGTCTCAAAGAAAAAACTGCCTGCTCCCACTAGGCATACTGTTTAAGAAGTTTGAGAACTATATAATGACCTTCAGAAGAATTTCTATCTGGCTGATTAAAATAAGTAATTTAATGTAATAAGCAACTGTTACCCTCAATAATATGGAATGGCTCACTTCCCCAAGACACCAGATCTTATGATATTAGAACAGTGCTGGGCATTTAGTAGAGGCAAAGTAAGACTTTTAGAATGATGGGAAGAATGTGTCTCCCTTGCTGGGAGCTAGAAATCCAGATAAACCAGAGGTTTAGAAACTTAGCTGCTCTTCAAAGTTTTCAGCTCTGTTTCTCACCTTTTGTTTATAAGGTGAGAAAGGGATTTACATGAAGCCGCAACCTGCCTTTCCTATTTCCCTGCCTTGGTGATGCTGTCAGCTCTCGCGGAACAAAAGCCCATCCTCCCTGTCTCCGCATGTCTGAATCCTGCCTAGCCTTTACAGTTGGGCCAAAGGCCGCCTCCTCCAGGAAGCCCTGGCCTATCATCTGATTGCTTGATTGTATGTCCTCTGAGCGCATACTGCCTCCCACCTGGCCTGTGCTGCTCATCACCACCTTGCACGGAGATCGTCGGTGTCAGAGCAGGGATTACCCTGTGTGTTAATCTGCACTGTGGGCTTCAGCCTGCTTGTGCGGTAAGTGCCATGTACTCATTCATTTGCCATAGTGACTTTGTAATTACTTCGAGAGGACAAAAATGACTTAGTGCACCCAGCTTTCCCCTTCTTCCGGCTCACTAACGAGGAATCCAACTTCGCCAGCCCAGGGGCACAGACTTAGGAGGATGGGGGGGGAGGTGTGAGGACGGGGGTTTGGCGGGGGACTGTGGGAGGCCTGGGGAGAGGGGTGTGGAGGGGCTGTGGGGGATGATGGGTGTGAAGGAGAGAAGGGGAGGTTTTCAGGGGCATTGCTGCGGACTGTACAGTCCTTTCCTGGTGTTGAAGAAATGCAAGTAACAACATGAATAATTCTGAAACTGCTTCCTGGCCGGACTGTGTCACTCACACAGACGTTGCTCAGTGACTGGACCTCACAGAATGGCTTAAGAGTGCCGTGGTGTGTTTAAAAGTTGTCTCCTAAATCCTCAAGGTTCAGGCATTAGCTATTCCATTTTACAACTTTTGCCTGCTCTTACAGCGCAGCAGCAGAATTGATCACTGCCTGACATTTTCCTTGAGTGGGATTTACATGGAGTTGCAGCTGCAGGGGGCATCTGAATGTTAGATGTCAAACATTTTGGATGCCCTAGAGCCAGGGATTAGAAAATGCGGTTGAAGGATGGGGCCGCTTCTTTTTGGAATGCTTAGGAGCTCCGTCAATCAGTTAAAACACTTCTTTTTGCAATACTTAGGAGCTCTGTGAATCAGTTAGTCATCTAACAAGCAGAACTCCGGGCTCTAATAGTCACTCTCTGGTCTCCATTGTCCTCATCTGTAAAGGAGGGAGGTGGGTGAACAAGATCTCAGGTCCCTTCTCATCCAGTGATTCTTTGTAATTCTCCAGTGCTCACCCCTTATTCCCCTGTGCTGGGGATATGGGGAACCTTGAAGAGGAGAAGGCCTGGGCCTTGCCCTTAAGGAATTGATCTGCTAATACTCAGCACAGGCCCCGAGGGAGGTGGGAAGGAGCCACACTGGGTTTGCCGGGACAGAAGGTGGGAAGGTGAGGTGAGGGATGGTGTCCTCTGCACCCGGCACACTCAGGCTCTGGCCTTTGGGGAGGAAGTGGAGGTGGGGGTGGGGTTCATGCCTGAGGTGCATGCCCTGTACCGAGATGTACCGAGACTCTGAGGGTGGTGGGCCAGCCGTCGTCCAGCATGGGGCCATGGTCAGGGTCCTCCAGGGAATACTCGGCTGAGAAAGTCACTGGCTTCACGTAGTCAGCAGTGTCCTGGGGGGTGGAGACGAGGGCAGGGGTGAGGGAGGAGAGAACGTTATTTTATGAGCCAGGACCATGGATGCTGAGATAGAACTTTCACCTTCCTAAGGTGGCAGGGCAGCTGCCCTGTCCCCTGTCCCCTCAGGATGAGTCCGCGGGTGGATGGAGGTTTCTAGCGGGTCTGTTGGTGGGAAGAGTGTGCCTCTGTGAAAGGAGCTCCAAGCTCAGCTCATGCCAATCTAGCTGCCTGGCTGTTTCACCAAGCTCCTGCGTATCCTTCAGGGCCAGACTCCCATTGCCCGGATACCTTGGCTTCCGGGAAGCCTGGCAGTGGCGGCCCGCATCCCACCCCATCCACCACTCTGTTCAGACCCATTACGCCCACTGCTCACGTAGCATTTGAACCATTTGACTGTGGTCACTCTTCCTTCCCAAGCAAGGAAGGGGCCTGGAGCCTCCCAGCATGGCCCTAGCACTGTAACAAGGGCTTCAGCATGTGGAATGCGTGAATGAACAAACTCGTGAGCAAGACAGGGGCACTCAGGTTGGTTCTGAGCGTAGACGGTAAGTAAAAGGGTGGCTTATAGCTGCCTAAAAACTTCCCCTTGGAACTTGCAATCCTGATTATATAAAGGCAGTGGCTCTCAAGCCTGAGCTGGTATCAGAGTCCCCTGGGAGCTTGTTAAAATAGGGGATGCTGGCCCCACTCCCAGAGTTTCTGAGTCAGAACATGTGAATTTCCAAGTTTGTGGGGAGGCTGAGGATGCTGCTGGTGTGGACGCATCTCAGGGGACCCCTTAACAGGGATGTGCCTTCTCACACCTGCTCACGTCTCTGACCTCTGGCCATTGAACTACTGGGGCCAGGAGGGCTCTGAGTGACCCTGCTTGCATCTCTGAGGCTGGAGCTCTGGATGGAAGTAAACCTGTCATCCTTTTCCTTAGCTATAAAATGGGGCACCAGGCCACTACCCTGCTCGTGACATCACTGGCGCCCCTCTCTGTCTCTCCTCCCGTTTTGTACATGCCACTGCCTCCTGGACCTGGCCTTCAATTGTTAGCTGCTGCCTGCTTATCCCTCCCTTTGGGGCCGTGCCCCCCACTGGCTGCTCCTGGTTCTCTCTGCTGGACCTACTGAGCCCACCTTCCTTCCCTCGGCATCTGAGAGTGGCAGGATAAGAGGTTTTGGAAGGAGGTCCAGTGAGGTGGTATGTAGCATGTCTCTGGGGCATGAGGTGGGAATGTGGAGTGGCCAAGTTCAGGGGACACAGACTCCGGCTGGCGTCCTGAGGTCTGCTGGGGGCTCAGAACCAGCCAGCCACCAGGTGGACTCTCTGCCTCTCCCACGGCAGGTGCTCCTTCCTGTAGGAGCCTGGGCTCTGCTGGTGGGGCTGCCAGCTCACCAGGACATGGAAGTTGATCCTTTCACAGAGCTCCTGGCCGGAGGAGAGCAGGACAGCTCTGTTGGTGAATCGGTCCCCGCCCTCGTCCAGGTGGGCCCTCGGTGTATACCGCCTCTCGTCCATGGTGGCATTGTATCTGATGCCTGCAGGAGGGGAGAGGGCAAGACCACAAAGGTGGAGCCACATGCCCATCCAAGACTGTCTGCCTCCTCCAGGAAGCCCCCCAGGCTGGCCAGGGGAGAGCTATTCCTTTCCTCTCACGAGCCCCAGTGTGGGTGAGAAACTCCCACATGGAGAGCAAGTGATTGCATGAGGAAGGGAAAGGAAGGAACCAAAGAAAAGAGGGAGAAAGAGGGTGGAGAAAGAGCAGGAGGAAGAAATGGAGGGAAAGTGAACACTGCAGACAAGGAGGGGAGACAGGATGTGGGGCCAGGGCGGTGCCATGTTGAGCCCCTGCTGCAGTCAACAACCCCCTCTGCCTCTCCCTCCACCTTCCCTGTCTCTCCCTGGGCTCTGGGATCCCCCTCAGGGCTGGTCAGAGCCTTTGCTGGGTGCTTCCTGTCACACCAAGGAGGGCTGGCCAGCCCCTTCCCGGCGGCTCCTCAAACCTTTGACTCCATTCTGGGGCATAAAACCTGTAGCCTCCTCCCCTTCAATTAGGTTTTGCCAATTCCAGGAAAGACTCAGTCCCTTCTCCTGCTCTCCAGCCCGCCCGCAGGTTGCTGCTGGCTCTCATATCTGTCTCCTCTCAGGGATGGAAGTTGAAAGAGAGGGGCACAGCCCCCAGGCCCGCCTTTGTTCTCATCTTCCTTTTGGTCTCTGTCTGATTCTGCTCCTTGGCTGAGATGCTCCCTGAATCCCTGTTTCCTGTGCCGGCACAGACAGTCCTGGAACCTGCAGCTCACTTCCTGAGACCATCTGGACCCAGGGCTGTCAAGAGGACGTGTCTGACTCCAGACTTAGCTGGAAGTGATGGACCCTCAGAAGGAAACTGCCCCACTGTGGACTCACACCCACTTCTGAGCGGGGCTCCCTGCCGCGGACTCACACCCACTTCTGAGTGGGGCTCCCTGCTGCTGGGGTCTCATTGACCTGGACTTCTGGTTTCCAGCACCCCCACTGTAGGACTCCTGGGTCTGCCTCTTCCTCTGCATCCAGGCAGACTTCTGGGTTTCTGCACCCCACTTTGCTCCACTGGCATCAGTCCTGTGTTCTGATCCAGACTCTGCGCCCAGACTGTTTCCTTCTTCTCTTGTCCTCCCTCTCATGATCACCCCTGCTCACTGCCACTCTCACTGTGGCATGACATCCCCTCTTTGCTCTTTGGAATGACAGCATCAAATGGGGTCCAGTAGTCATCCAAGGTGGCTCTAGGGCGACCTGGCACTCAGCATCCATTTCAGGAAAAGCCCAGGCTTTGAAATAGAGTAAGGTGCAGGGGAAGACTGGAGCTGGGGGGTGAGGAGAAAGGAGGGGCCTGCTTTACCAACAGTTGTAGTTTGGAAGTGGGGTGCCAGGAAGACAGGTGTGAAGCAGAGGAAGGCGGCCAGGCAGGTGGCATCCCTGCCACTGCGCTTGCAGTCTCTGTGGAAGATGTTGATTTTCGATGGCTCAAAGTGGAGGCTGGCATTGATCTGAACCACAGGGCGGGACCTGCGGGAGAAGGGCCAGTGAGCTGGGGTGGGGCAGGGGCTCAGGCTGCCCTGCTGTGACCACGGGGAAAGACAAGAACCAGATGCGAGTGGAATCTGCAAAGCCACTGGAGGGGGTGAGGTGGAGGATGGAGGGGGCTTTGGATGTCAAAGGATTGGCAAGAGGGAGCACAGGGGAAAGAGGGGCTCAGCCACCTCACAGCCCCTCCATGCAGCCACTCAGCACTTTCCCCCAGGGCCTGTGCTCGCTGTGGATCATGCTGACTCCCCTTTGCTCCCTCATCACCTTTTCTAGCAGTGGTTCCCCACCCTGGATGCACGTGTGAGTCATCTGAAGAGCTTAAAAAAATCCTGGTGCCTCAGCTACACCCTAGGCAAAACCACATCAGAATCAGGCCTTCGCAGGTTTTAAAGCAGTGCCTCTGAAATTTTCATATGTGTGCACGCCCCCTGGGGATCGTGTTAAAATGCAGATTCTGATCCAATAGCTTGGCACCGATTTTGCATTTCTAACAAGCTCCCAGGTGATGTGAACGTTCCATGGACCACACTTTGAAGAGCGAGGCGTTAAAGTACCCCAGGTGATTCCAGCGTGCAGCCAGCACCCATCCACCCCCACACCACCCCATCCAGGTAACCAAGGAAATACAAATTTACCCTTATACCAGCCTAAGTCAAATGTAATTAGGAACGAAACCTATTGCCTCTCCCAACCATGAATGTAGATGGAAAGAAATAGGAGTAGAGTGGCTTAGAGGTTTCACAGCTTCAACGTGATGATCTGTGCCAATACTCTGTTCTTCTTGGCGTAAAGGTGAACAGCACCTCTGTGCTGTAGAGTGAAAGGGTGGATTTGAGTCTTGGCTCTGCGGGTTCCTCACTAGACCTTGGCAGGTCACATGATCTCTGCAATGGGGGATTGTGAGGATCAGAGGAGGTGAGAATGTCCTTTGACAGTGTAGAGTGCTGTGTCAACACAGTGGGCTACATCTGAAGTTCTCAAACTTGACTGCCCATTGGAATCACTTGGGGAGTTTTAAAAAAATTACTGCTGCCCAGGTCCCTCCACAGAATTCTGCTTTAATTGGTGTGGGTAAAGCCTGGGCAATGCCATTTTAAAAGCTCCCCTGGCGATCCTAATGGGCAGTCACGTTTGAGAACTATGGGGCTTGACCATAAAGTCTCCCCAGAGGACTCTGGCCCATAATCTCATCACTATTTAGGTAGCACATAAGTGTGGACTTCAAAAGCTAGAACTTGATCCAATCATTTTTGTGATTCTGATTATCTTGGGGTGTGTGTGCATATGTGTATTTGGTTTCCTGTAGAGAAGTTTATGTGTTACTTTAAAGACCTGCTAGGTTCTGTGTACCCCTCTCCCCGGGCCTTGGTCATCTGCCTTGCTTTCTTGGTTGGAACCAACGCAGTGAACACCTTTACCACACCTTGCAAGCCCAGGCTGCTGTTGCTGCCACCATCACCACCACCAAGGACCTAAGAGCCCCCACATGCAGCACAGACCTTGGAAGAGACAGACCCTGCTCCTGTACACTAGCTGGGCTGCACAGGCCCTGGCTTCCCAGTGCTGCCTAGAGGGCCAGGGGACACCACCAGGACTGTCGGGCAGCAGATGCTCTGGCCATGACAAATGAGGGATCTGAAGGAGCCACAAGTCTGCTGCTCCCCCTTCTTTCCCTACAATGGGCTGTGTTATGCCACACTGGAAATGCCAAGATGCTGAGCAAAGAGCAGTACGCGTGGTGAAGACAGGCTGGCTTGCTCCGCATCTTCGCTCCCTTCCGGCTTCACTTTTGCTTCTGGGATTGCACTCCACTCCCAAAGCATTCAAGAGGCTTTTGCCTCAGGCTCTGTTTTCTAGGGAACCCGGAGGAAGACATTTCCTCCTTGGGTTGTAGTAGCCTTGCGAACAGGAGCCCATCCTTTCCTTTATTCTCCCTGTGAAGTTATATATCTCTGTTCAATGCCTTTTTAAAGTTGTAGGGTGGATATAATTGCATTTATACAAAATTATAAGCAGCGGAAAAAGGACTGGGAGAAGATATGCCACAATATTAATAGTGGCATTGTTAAGGTGATGGCAGGCTGAGTAATTCTTTTCCTTATTTTATAAATGTTCTTTATGTTATTGTATTTATGATGAAAAATACCTCATCAACATATATGAAAAAATACTCAAGGTCTTTTTTTTCTGGCTCAAAAAGTAGCCAACATATGGTAAAATAAATGGGTGTTTAGGAAGCATGAAAATGAAGCCCCGAAGAAAGGAAGCAAGAAGTCAGAGTGCTTTGGAGGAAAGAAATCTCTGTATTAGATAAATATTCCTCCACGCCAGGGTAGAAGGAAAGGTCCTCCCAGATGGTAAAAATATGCTCAACTTGCCCCTGCAAGTGTTATAGCTTGAAAAGCTGAAATGGAAGACATGCTTGAGTAGCCAGAACTTTTAGGGCAAATTCTAAGAGTGGGGGCTTTTGGACAGGACTTCAATTTATACTGAATTTACACTGATTCCACCAAAAGGAAATGTGTAAGCAAGCTGGGGTAAGAACAGGGTGAGTCTAGCTGAGGGCAGTTAAAGACAAGAGAAAAAGATCCTGAAGCCCGTTTTTAAAACCCCTGCATTCATCGTGACCTTCAGGAGAGCCCAGGAGGTGGGAACAGTGGGGGAACCAACCAGAGAATCACAGCGTTGCCAAGGGCTCCCACTGCCAGGTCGATGAGCCCATCCTCATTGAGGTCCAATTGCCCGTGGATGCTGCAGCCAAAATACTGGAGGCCGGTAGCCAGCTCTGAGGCTGTGATTCTCTGCAGGGAGCAGGAAGAGAGCAGGAGGGCATGCACACCGTGAGTGTGGGGGCGGGCGGCCCTGAGCTGCAGGAACAATCGGGAGCCTGTTTGAAATCACGAAGAAGCTTCCCCAACCCAAAGCAATCTCGTCTCCTGGCCTGTCATGGCACCTGAAATTCCTACCATTCAAGTCATTCTTTTGGATTAAAATATCGTGTCTTAAAAGAGTTCCCTATTAAGTGTAAATACACGTGACCTGGCAAGTGACCCATCCACGTCTCTCACACTGGTCTATTTTTTAGGCTATCTTACTAATAAACCGTGGGGCAAAAGGATGATCCTCAGGGGATGGGACCCAAGACGGGTCAGTTTTGAGGTGGGCACGATTTCTAGCACGAAGCGCTTCCAGAGAAGAGTGAGCCCAGAAGAGATGCTCCACTGGTAGGCAATTGCATGTGTGCATGTCTTGGGAGGAGTGAGGGTCAGGTGCCAGGGATTTGTTGTTGTTTGTTGTTGGGGGAGGATAAAGGTAAGCAGGGAGAGGGTGCCAAAGTGGGTGGTGGTGGGGGGGGTCCTGAAGGTAAAATGTGCCCTTTTCAAAATTTCCACGTGGGGAAGCATGACCAGGACAGATTGGCATCCGTTCCTGTGAGAGGGCACGGAAGAAAATCCTGAACCAGATGAGGCACAGAAGCTCCTGGGACCCCTGCAGCTCCATTTGCTCTATCCACTTCCCCGGGGAAGCCTGACCTGCTTAGGCGTCTTCAGGATGCTGCCTCGGAAGCCGTGGAAGATGTAGATGGCTCCTGCGTGGTTGTCCTCCAGGGGGGCTCCCACCACCACATCATCGTAGGAATCCTGGTTGAGGTCTCGAACTGAGGCAATGGAGGACCCAAACCGGGCATTCTGGTAACTGTGTGAATCCTTGAGCGTTCCGTTATAAACAAACCGGTTCTGCAAAACCAGGGGCAGAAAAAGGCTGGGGAGGGCTTGGCAAAAGTCCTCAGGCTCATAATTCCCTCTACAGGCTGCTTCGGCATCCTCTCCCCACTCCATTCCCCCAGATCCCCGTCTCTGGCTATATGAGCCCAGCCACAGACGAGGCTCCGATTCTCCCCAGGCCTGGCTCCAGCACTGGCCTCGCTAGTAACCCATTTGCCTCGTGGCTACCCAAGTCAAAGCAGAGGCTGGGGGCCCCCGAGAAGCTGCCCAGCCCCTGCCCAGCTGTACCTGTCTCAGCTCGTAGACATACACCTTGCCTCGCTCGCGGCCCTCGCTGAAGTACATGGGTGCACCCACCAGCAGGACATCAGTGACACCATCGCGGTCAATGTCCACCGAGGTGATCTCACTCCCAAAGTAAGAGCCTATCTGCGGCACGTGATGGGAGAGAGGAGTGGGCTGGCTGCCCAGCTCGCACAGCCCAGAGACCTTGCCTCGCCGGCAGAGGGAAGCCAAGGTCATCTTTTGACTCAGAATTTTTGGTGAACAAATGGGCCCTCCCTTCTCATGCGCTCCCTCTCTCTCCTCTCCCTCAGAGCGGACTTGCCTGTTTTCAGTTTGCCCTTCTCCCCTTCCCTCTTTTCCTTCTGTCATTATCCCCTTCCCACTCTTCTTTCTTTCTGTTAATTTTATTGGTGGCCATTTGTCTTGTGTGTAAAGTGAAATAATGGCAAAAAATAAGGAGAATATTTAAAAGTATGAAGAAGAAAACAAAAGTTACCCACAATCCTGACATCCAAATATAACTACCATGAATATTTTAGCGGATTTTCTTCTAGTTTTTTTCCCCTGAGGCATGTTGCCTATTTGTACTTGTGTTTTATTTTTACGAATTGGAGTAATAATGCAAATATAGTTTATATACTGATTTTTAAATAAAACAATATATCATCAACATTTTTCTATGATGTATTATATTTTCATCTACAACATAATCACTGATGATTCCACAGTGCTTAAAATTATGCATGTATCATAATGTATTTAATCAATTATTGCTGGACAGTTAGCTTGTTTTTTTTTTTTTTTTGAGACAAGGTTTTGCTCTGTCACCCAGGCTGGAGTGCAATGGTGCAATCTTGGCTCACGGTAGCCTCGAACTCCTGGGTTCAAGTGATCCTCCCACCTCAGCCTCCTGAGTAGCTGGGACCACAGGCACCTGCCACTGCTCGTGACTATTTTTAAAAATTATTTGTAGAGATGGAGTCTCACTATGTTGCCCAGGCTGGTCTGGAACTCCTGCGCTCCAGTGATCCTCCCACCTCACCCTCTCAAAGTGCTGGGATTACAGGTGTGAGCCACTGTTTTTCATTTTTGATGTTATAAATCATTCTGGCATTAGCATCGTGGATGGTGAATTACGATTTCTTTCAATGTCTGAGCACTTGCTGTGTTCCCCTTCCGTTTGGGGTGCAGCACTCCCCACTTCAATGAGGACACTATCCACCCCCTCCTCAGAAGCCCAGAAACCCTGATCCCTCCTCCACCTCTCCCACCTGCAAACCTGCCAGCAATTCCTACCTGGTGGGTACCAATTCACCAACTACTCACCCCTGCTTCTTCCCTAGGTGAGGCACCTTCTAAAGGGCCTTCCAGCCTCAGGCTGGCCCCTTCAGCCCACCCCCATGGCAGCCGGCGTGGCCTCTAACACCATTCCACCTCTTGCTTTTGGGGTGGTATCTAAACTCTCCAGCAGGACCGTGCTGGACCAGCCTCCCTCCCCAGCCTCTGTCCCCACAAGCTCCTGCTCCCAACGCAGTGCTCCTGGGTCCTGCCAAACTGAGTTATTTCTCCTCTCCAAAAGCCCCCGGCCTTGGCCGGCTTCCAGGCTTCCCTCTGCACAAGCTTTTCTCTTGCATGCACTCCCCGCCCCTGCGTCCTCCCCAGATCATCCCCTGCCATCCCTCAGGTCTCAGCTGAAGTGTCACTTCCTGTTAGAAGCTGCCCTTGACCTTCTCCACTCCGCTCGCTGCCCCTTTTCCATGTGCCTTCAGCTCCACACTCCTCCTACCAGCCCCTGTTCCCTCTGCTGGGATCCTCATGAGGGTGGGCGTTGAACCTGCTGTGTTCCCTCTGGGCCAGGGTACTGTGCCTGGTACACAGAAAGTACTTAATTAATGCTTATTGGATCACTGGGTTTCTTAGGAAAGGGGAAGGCACCCTGTTCATGGACAAGCCCTGTTTGGGATGGTTTATAGCCTTGGGTTAGTTCATGCGAGCCCCATGCTTCTAGGAGAGAGAGTCATCCTCATTTTACAAGGGAAGGAACCAAAACTCAGAGAACTGGAGTTTCTTGCCCAAGGTCAGAAGGCTGGTCACCTGGTCACCGCCAAGCTGGTTGGAATTGGGGTCTGTCTGACACCCTGGCCCATGACTCTGCCTACCCTGTCCTTTTCTGGCTTAGTGTGTTTTCAGAAGAAATCTATTCTCAAGGATTAAAAGCTTTTAACTGAGGAGAAAGATAAAAAATTTAGAAGAGAGGAAAGGGAAATAGTACACATGGGTGGGAGAGGGAAAAGATGTGCCTACATACAGTAACTAAGAAGCAGACAGAGAGCCAGTAAGGGAGGGGGCGGGGGAAATTTGTCTGAATATGTGGCCTCAGCTATGTGGGTCACCGCGATTTGGAATTCACTTAATTTAGCTGCCTTCAGCACTGCGGTTTCTCCTTCGGATGTTGGAGGCGGAACTGGGCAGGAAAAATGTCATAAATTCATCAGCAAATTCCCTCCAGCTCTCAAGGTCTAGCCCTCCATTCCAAAAGAGTTGGCCCTGGGTGAGTGTGGGCAAGCAGGGTGGAGGGTGAGAGCTTTGCCGCCTGGAATGGCCCGCACCCAAGAAACAGGAGGAGGAATGGCAGGAGGGCGGCACTCTGCAGCGAGACGGATTTAGGTTAGACTCGGTGAGGAGCAGGTTCTCACAGTGACAGGCCAAGGGCAGTCATGGGCTCAGGAGACAGGGCTGTTCCCAGGCTCAGGAGAGTCGACAGGGAGCTGGGGACAACATGGAAGGGCCTGGACAGCACTCAGCTCCGGCCTAGAGAGGGCACGGATGCTGCTGGTCAGGAGGACCCCAGGACTGGTTTTGGGGTTATTGGGGGTCAGGAGGTGGCATGATGCAGGCAGCCCCACCAAGAGGGTTCTTGGCTTGACCCAGTCATGAATTCACCATAGAACCCTGGAAAAGCCACATTGCTTCCCAGGAGCCCAGTTTTCTTCTGCGCTGGAAGTGACTTGGATTGGAGCCCCGTTTTCACCACCAATGACTCTTATCATAGCTTTCCAATTTGCATTCATCACTGTCCAACACAGGACTCTTAGCAGCACAGTCTGGTTGCCAATCGCCTCCCTGTGGGGCAGTGGCACTGGCAGCCTTCCCATTCCTCATTGCTTCCATTCCAGGAAAAGGGAAGCAGCTGGTATCCTGGAGGACCCATGGGGCCTTCCGTGGGTGGATGCACACTCCTGCCACTCCTGGCAGCATGAAGGTGGCTGGAGGAACATGACTGCCCTTCGGAGCACCCAGTGGCCCAAGCATGCTGTATTCACTGCCCTCCCATTTGTCTGATCCGCCCCTCTTCCCTCCGTCCCTGCCCCAGGCTCCCCCTCCATTACCTGCTGGCCCCGCAGAGCCTGGTGGATGGTGAGGCTCCGGTTGTTGTGCATGGTGAACAGGATGACTTTGCCCGTGTGGTTGAACCGGGGGGCTCCGGCCACGTACACCCGCCCCTGCCTGGAGGACACGACCGATGTGACTGTGTACCCTGCCACAGGAGGAAACAAGCTGATATTTGGCACCGTGTCCTCAGCAGGCCTTGCTTGGCCTGGTGCATGGCTTGGCCGTGCCAGAGGATGGGCCAGAGGTGGGGTAGGTTCAGGACCAGCTGAGCAGATTCAATCATGCAGGGCTGTAATTCCTAGGGGCAGCTGGGGAGGCCTGGAAGAGGCAGGGCCCAGGAGAGGGGTTTGGAGGGTAGGGAGGACTCACTGCACCCCAGCCCCTACTGGAGAAAATAAAGGAAGCCAGGTGGGGCTGCTGAAAGACTAACTTGAAATGCACACATCCCTCCTTCACCCGCTCATGAGCACGGCGGAGGGCAGCAGGGAGCAGGGCAGACTCTAGCCTCACTTCAGTTAATATTGGGGAGACTTTGCTTGGTTCCCCAGCAATCTTCACTCTTAGGGACTAACTAGTGTCCTCTTTATTACCACAAATGCCTGCTGAGTGGCCCACTGAGGACTAGAGTGTTAACCGTAAAGGTGGAAGGAATTGGTCTGCTTCAGATATTCACATGGGGTTTCAGGGATTCTTGCAACCCCAAAGCTTTGCAGACTCAAAGGAGGAAGCTCCCAGGCTCCTGTCAGTCCCATACGTGCAGCATGCCAAAGAGAAAGACATAGAACCCCAGGGGCTCTTTGGGAAAGGCTGCCAATCCCGGCTCCCGGTATGGCTGTGCCTGATCACTGTGAATCTCATCACCCACCCAGTACCCAGGAAGCAAATGTGCAGCATCTTCAGGCAACTCTCCTGAAAGTGGGCTCCAGCAGGTGTGGAAAGCCGATGGCATCCCAGAATCCCACTTTCTGCCAGATAATCTTGGATCCCAGATTTTAAATGGGTGTTGGACTTTGTTGACAGTTCCTGGGCTGTTTCTGGGGAACAGATGTCTCTTGCAATGCACGTGTGTGAGTGTGTGTGCACATATATGCGTGTGCATATGTGTATCTGTGTGTGTAACACTGTCACTTGGGTCCCATTGGCTGCTTCCAGAGTGGCTACAGGGTGTACAGATGAGCTGACTCAGTGCCTGGGGGTGAACCACCCTGGTTCCAGACACAACAGTTTTCACTCTTGAGGCTGTACTTGGGGAAATGAGGCTTGACAGGTCCATGATACCAAGACCTCACAAGGGGTGGCTAACATGGCCATGTGTTTAGAGCAACCATAAATATATGGGTGGGCGGGGCTTAACCTTGTGGTGTGGAGCAAAGGTTTCTTCTGAGCTGAGCCCTCAGTGGCACTACTGAAAATGTTCTCAGTAGGCCTTGAGTTTCTGGGCCTGCTTGGAAGGAGGGGCACTGAGACGCAGTCTGGGGGCCAAGTGTCCTATGGGGCAGGCGTGGGTCAGCATTCAAACTCACAGAGCTTCCTGCCTTCCAGCTGTCTGTAGGCAGCACCTTTGGTTCCCAGGCAGCTCTCTGGCCAGCAGTAGGGGTCATTCTGAGGCTCAGCCAGCCTCCCTGAAGTCCTGATGAAAGGGTAGGGCCATGGCCCGAAATCTATACTGCACCCCCAGTGGAGGCTGGGAGCTGGCCTCCTGGTCTCCTTCCCCTGTAGTGCTCCTCTCCCTTGGGACACAGGAGGAATCTTCCAGCAGGCATCTCTGCCCCAGCAGAGAACCCAGATCCTGCTCTCACTGGATGACTCCTAGAGGGAGGTGGAGGAGAAAAGGCACTCCCCAAGACTCCCACCCAAGGCAGTGACCGTGGCTAAGGCATGCCAGCTGGGCCTCATGAGTGTCCTTCAGCCAAGTTCCATCCCACCAGGGTCTTCCGGGAGGGGAAGCAGGGTGGCTCTGCTGGGCCAGGGGGATATTCATCCTGCTGTGCTCTCACTCAGATATGTTCAATAGCTCCCTGTTGCCAACATGAAAAAGCTCAAACCTCTTAACCTGGCATTCGAGGCCTCCTGCCTATCCTAACTTGCCCTCTCCTCCATGTTCCCACTTCTCCCCCCTGCTCTAGCCACACTCATCTACTTCTTGGGTCCTGAAATAACCTGGCACTTCCCACATGTCCTTCCTTTGCTTGGCCTTTCTTGACTTATTTGAAATGTCCCCTGCGGTGGAGACCTGGTGTAGGCTCCAGCTCCTACACAGTGGGCCCTGAGTGTACCAGCTCGCTGGACCACTCTGACTCAGTTGGAATTAACCTCATGGGCCCTGGGACACCCTGATGTGATCTGCCTTGCTGTTTAATGCCTCGTAGCACCTGCATCTTGTGCCCCGTCTTTGGTTTCCTTACTTTCAGCGCAGTGCTGTGCACTTGGGAGGAAACACAATGAAACACGAGTGATTCCAGTTTCTAGTTAAAGGGTTGCTAGCCTTTGTTCTTCCAGCATCTTTCCCAGTGTTTGAGCATTTGCCAAGGCAAGGACTCCAATCTTTCTCTCCTTTATTTGTGCTTTTATCTGAGCTCCCACCTCACTTGTGTTATAATTATATGTGCACATGTCTGTGTCTCTCAGGAAGCAGCTTGAGGGCAGGTGCTGTGTCCTTACCACGGCACTTTAGCACGGCACTCTGATAGCATCAACCGCAGTGCTATGCAATTCAGGTTTAACACCTTGTGAATCAAATGGACCGCAGGCCCTAGGGTCAGGCGCTGTCCTAGGGCCAGGCGCTATTGGGAAACTTCTAGGGATCTACACTTCTGGATTTTCTAGCACAGTCCTGATTCCAGCATTTTGCCCTTTTGTCAGCTGAGGGTCCCATGGTTGGGGATAGAAAACAGGGTAACCACAGTGTGGGCAGAGTCATAGGCAGCGTATTGGCTAAAGAGCTGAGGAACAAAGGTCAGGATGGGATGAAGCACCAGAGAGATGGACACATGGACAGATTCGCTGTCCACTCTGGGTGGCCCAAGTTCATGGAGGAGTGGGGTCCGAGGAAGCCTTAATGAGGAGTGACTTCACAGAGAGTGGACTTGGTTCGGAAATTCAGAAAGACCCAGAGACAGTGGGGAACCCCTTCTTGCCACCCTCCCCTCTGGCCCTTCCTTTAGAAAGGAACAAGCCTTGGCAAATGGGACATGGCTGGGGATGGCCAGGTGACTGCTCCTGCAGAGCTGGAAGGTGACTTTGGCCAGCAGGCTAAGGCCTCACTGCTAGGATCTTCACCATCAATGATGTGTGCTTCTCTAGATATCCAATCCCAAAGTGCTTCATGGGCAGCGACTTCTGCCTTGATTATGAACATTAAGAAATAAAAACAAGTGCAGATTCCACTCGATTTGCATTTTGCCTTCAGAAGGCAGGCTCAGTGTACTGGAACCCTAGTCAGCCCCAAAAGCTTTAAAGGCACAACAACAGCTGACCCAGAGTCTAGGAGCACCAAATGAAACACACTGAAGGGAGCGGGGAACTGCTTGTCCTTTATTCTACCTATTGATGGAGCGCCTGTTATACGCTGGGCAGGGTGCTTGGCGTGGTGGTTACCAGCGTGGAGAGGATATGCCCCCAGGGATGCTCTTCAGAATTGGGTGCTTGAATTAGCCCAGAATATACACAGCAGGCCCCTCTCTCGTGTGTGGGCTAGGGGTTCTGCAGCCCCTGGGTGCCCTCCCGGCCCACCACCCGCTGGCCTCCCCTCACTCTGGGCTCTTACCCAGGTATGCGCCATGGTTCTTGAGCTCCTCGGGGAACTCTTTCAGGTAGGACTCACGGAGAGGAATGACCTTGCCGGCACTCGTCTCCTTTAGCACAGCTCCGTTCCAGTCATAGGCACCAACGGCTCCCAGCAGAACCCCATCCTGGCATTGGGGAGGGGACACACATCAGCACCTGTCCTCATGGGCCTGTTGCCAGGAGCCACATCAGGTCCTGTGACCAGTGACGCCCCTGCCAGCCACCTCAGGCACCTTCTCCTGGGTGCATTATTTAGCAATCTAACTTCTGGCTGGGACTCTTGGCTTTTGAATGAGCCAAGGAGACTTTTTTGCCCCTTTCCATCCTTAGGACAAAATGGGTCAAACTGATCCCAAGGACAGGAACTTAGGGAAAAAGGAATGTTCTAGAAACAAACTGTAAATCCAGGACCAAACCTCCATTCCTCCTTGGGCTTCAAAACCCTCTAGGGACCCTCTCGCCACTGTCCACTCCTTCTGACATTGATTGAAAGAGGGAAAGGGCCTCCTGCACTTGCCCTTCTTCAGTATTTCTTTGCAGTGTCTGAGTTGCTTCCCTGCATGTAAATCCTACTCCTTGGTTTCTTCAGCAAACATTCACTGAGGTCCCCTTTGTGCCAGGCACTGGTTTGGTGCCAGGGATATTGTCCCCCGCCCTCAGCCACGCCCCCCGCTCCCCACCACAGAGCTTGAGGATATGAAAAAAAATACTCAAACAAACACGCAGTTGCAAACTGTGATCAGTGCAATCAAGGAAAACCACAGTGAGGCTGAATCTAGATTGAGATGGGGGTCAGGAAAAGTCTTCAAGGTTGTTATGTTTAACCGTGCACCTGAAAGATGGGTAGGACCAGAAAGAAAGAAGAACTGGAGAAAAGGGCCAGGAACAGCCTGTGCAGAGGCCCTGAGGCTGGCGAGAGTGCAGAGCCTTTGTTCCTAAGGAACTGAATGCTGTTCAATGGGGCTGGAGCACCTTGACACGAGGCTGGGCAGATAAGCCAGGGCCACCTTCATGACAGCCAGCACCCAAGGCACTGGTGCTTGGGCTTGTTTCTCAGGGCTTGGTGGGTCTTGTTCTACCCACCAGTTGTAGGACAAAGGGAAGCTGCAATGCTTGGACAGGAAGACAGGAAACTCTGGCTCCTTGAGGGGAAGTTTCCAGGTTACTGATCCCATAGCCCTTTCTTGAAGACTGAGTCCACTCACCCTCTCTCTTGTACCCCCAATGCCCTGCTTCAGCAAGCCACGTAACTAGTGGGTACAGGCAGACACACAGCCAGCACTTGGAAGAGGAAGGAAAATGACCGGGGACAATGAGGGGCCCAAGGAAGGTGGTGGAAGCAGGGAAGGGCTGCCTTTTGGGTTACGCTGGTGATTACAGGGGTGGGGGCAGACTGTCTGGATCCCAGCTTTGGGCTTTCAAAACACAGGCTGGTAAAGTCACCACTGTCTCCCATGGAGCCTTCCCTGAGCCTGGCTGTCTGGGTGAACTTGAGATTCCCACCACTTTACAGAGTCAAGCTGATCTTATCAAAGGGTTAACATATCCTAACCCTCCAGAGGTAGAACTGACTGTTCAGACAGAATGTTTTTACAGCTATAAATAAGCTGGTCTTGGGAGAGTCAATGTGCTTGGTTATGTTTCACATTGCACTTTCTAATTAGCCTTCTTCCTCCTACTCTGTGCTCGAGCCTCAGCCTAGGAGGCTCTGACAGTCTGTCTGGGCCAGGACGGGAGCCAGGAACTCACATATTCGCTGTCCACAAAGTCACCGCCAACATTCCTGCACGTGGGGTGTGCTCTATTCTTTGTGGAATACTTTCTCACCCGGCTGCCCATTTGGGCCCAGAGGCCCTGTGAAAGGGAAGGGCAGATGTTCAGTATCTGCACTTGACAAATGAGCCGTGGAGGTTCAGAAGGGGAAGGGACTTGCCCAAGGTCACACAGCAAGTCAGAGGCAGGGCTGGGGCTTTGACCAGACAGGTGAGTAGGGCCGAGAAGAAAACATCTGTCTGTTTCCCCAGAGCCTGCTGTGGGTCCTGCTTTCCATTTTCCACCTGAACCCTCCTGAGGGAGCAGCGCACTATTTGGGGTCTGACTTTCTTCCTTCTTGTCCTCCCTCTCTCTGTCTGCTGAGTCCAAGTTTGTAACTGCCGACCAGGCTTCTGTGCTTCATGGACAGGCCTTTGAAGATGAATTTCTGGCTCTGCAGATGACAGGAAGCCTCTGTGATGTACCGAGAAGGGCTGACTTGGCCCAGCGGCCGGGGATTCAGCCGGGGAGACCCCTCACACTGACTCTCCTTGTGGGAGCTTGGGGAATTCCGTCCCGACTTTTGGGTTTGGCAACACTGGGCCAGGCGATTGCTTACAGTCTCCCACCTCATCCCGTTTTAACCCTGGCAGCAGCTGCAGTCTTGGGCCTGCAGTGGGAGGCCCTTTCCTGAGAGTGAATTTGTTGCAGCCAGGGGGAGTCTCCTGAGGATGGGGACACTGTGAGGAGCGATCAGGTTAAGGCCACCGAAGCAAGCCTCAGTATGTCACAATCTCTTCCCAGCTGGGGAAGCCCAGACATTTTGAGTTTAGAAAAATCTAGAAGGGCGGGGAAAAAGAAGAGAAGGGACCAAATCCTTAATAGGGGAAGCCAGGCATGTGGGCCCAGCTGGCGAACGAACAGTGGGCATTCCCAGGAAGAACCGTGTCCCCCGCTCCGCAGGCCTGGCACAGGCTTCCTGTTTTATAGCCTCCTTTCCCATCTGAGGCCACCTGGGCTCCCACCAGATATTACCAAGGTGTGCCTGGGTGGCCTTGCACAAGGGGACCTTCCCCACAAGCTGATTTTCCTGGCGTTCTGTGCAGACATGAGGTCACAGGCTTGGCAGCCGTCAGAAGGTCCGAGGCCACACTGTGCCTTCCCAAAGGACATTGTAGCTCTAGCACCTGCAGTGTGTGTAGCTCCCACCACCAGACCCTGCCAGCTCAGCTCTCAGCTGCCCTCTGACCTGGCCTCTGAGGCAGTCTTGCCTTCCCAGCTGAGCTGCATGGTCCCAGGGCGTGTGACCATATCTCTCAAAGCTCTGTGTTCTGGTCAGTCCATGTCCAGGCCAGGGCTGGACCACAGCCCCGGCAGTGGAGGCATCATGGTCTAGGGCAGTGCTGCTCAATGGGGGTAGTTTTGTGCCCTAGGTGATATTTGGTTGTTACAGCTGGGGGTGGTGGTGGGGGTGCTATTGGTGTCTAGTGGGTAGAGGCTAGAGATGCTGCTAACCATCCTACAATGCACAAGATGGTCCCTTATGGCAGAGTTGTCCAGCCCAAGATGTCACTAGGGCAGAGGTGGAGGATCCCTGGCCTGGTGGTGAGAGCAGGAAGGAGCTCTGGAGTCAGAGGCTTCTGAGTTCCACTTCTAGTTCAGAGCTTCTAGCTGTGTGACCCTGTTCTCTCTCTCTCTCTCTCTCTCTCTCTCTCTCAACCTTGAGTTCCTCAGCTGTAAAACAGTTCTGTTGTGAGAATCAGCATTTTTAATTCTTATCAGGGTGCTTGGCAGCCAGTGAGTACTTGGGACACGGTAGCTTTTCTCGTTCATGAATCTATCTGTAAGCATCTCCTGGGTGGTCGGGACTCGAAGAATCAGGTGTCACAGTCACGTTTGTCATTGCAGTAGCGTGTGAGAAGTGCTCTGATTGAGTCAGGGACTGGCTACTTTGGCACTCCCAGGAGCAGGTGAACAACTGAGACAGGAGGTGAGTGCATAGTGGGGTTAGAAAAGGCTTTTAAGAAAATCTTACTTGATTTATTAGTATGTCTCAAAATGAACACTTCCAGTTCCAAGCCTTGCTTCGATTTCACAAATATTCTTCAGACATCTACTGAGACAAGCTCAGAGAGGGCAAACGATTTTTCTGAGCCCACACTGCCAGGCAGTGCTTCCCTCTTGCCCAGCAGTTATGGAATTAGGATACTAGGTGCCAGCAATTCTTCCTTTTAGCTCTTTTTGGCTTTTGGGAGGTAAGACTGTGGAGCCAGGTGGAGGTAGTTGCTGGTGGTGCTGTGGGCTGGTGTGATGGGAGACCCTCTAAAGGACACTGAGGCTGTCCTCCTCCCCAAACTCCCGAGAGTCCGAGTCAGAGTGGCTGTAGAGGGGTGAGGCTCTGTTCCCAAGAGCCCCTTCTAAGGCACATACACCATTTGGAGGGTGGATTATGCTTTCACTAATTGCTTGGACTCTTAGAAGGCTTGTTTCAACAAGCTTGAAGTGGACCCGAGGAAGGGATGAATGGCCAGGAGGTTTGTGGGCAGGAAAGGCCCAGAAACAGGCCCTCTGCATTTCTGTGGAGGAGGGGCCCTCACCAAGTGCGGTGCTGGAATCCGGCAGCTAGGGTGAGCAGAAGGGGCCGTGGGGACCAGGGCGCAGTACACTGACTGCTCATTCCCCATCAGAGAGTTGGCTGCCGCCTGTCAGAGGCCCTGGGAAAGAGGCCAAGGAGTGGGCACTAGGGCACAGCCTGAGGACGTGGGGCCAGGCTTAGGAGGATCCGAATGAACCAGAAATGATTCCTGCTACCAGGAGTCAACTTGCAAACCATCGGGAGCAGCGTGGCAGGGGACCTCAGCCGCTGTGTCCTGGACTGCTGGGGAGAGGGCCAGAAGACCATCTTGATGGCCTGCCCAGCCTGGCAGGTGGAGGAGTCTATTGTTTAGGTCTAGGGGGGACAGGAGGGGTTTACAGCTTCCACAGGTCAAACCCTCAATTCACCATTATTCATCAGTCTATCTCATTTTTTGTTGAATCAGATACGCAAAACCAGTTCAAATGTGAAACCCTTAGGGAAGATTACACATCTAAAGCTTGAGCCACTAAGAACCTTAGCAAATAGCCAATACCCTTCATTGTCTAGATCTCAATCCCAGGAGGGCCTGTGGGATGAGCACAGGCTGAAGAGGCAGGAGGGTGGCTGGGGTAGCTCAACTGGGAATGTTTATACCTCCAGACGGGGACTAGACTCTAAGACTCTGTAATCCCACTGGCCTTGAGGGGAAGATGTGGAAGGAGAAAGAGGACTGCAAATAATTGATGCGCATGAGTGACGGTGTGCAGAGGACCCCTCTCACACAGGGCTCAGCTGGACTGAACCTGTTTCAAAACAGAACTGAGCTCTGGCCCTGTTAGATCATCATGTGCAGGGTCAGTGACCTCACCTTTAGGTACAAGAGAAAAAGGATCTCTTCCCATCTTGGGTGAGTCACCAAGGTTTTTGTGTAGACAAGATCTACCCTGATAAAACTGCTTCCTTCTGTAAACTTTTGGAGTTAGGGCAGATTTAGGATCCTAGTGTAGGAAGGCGGATGCGAAATCCCTCCATCTTCCCCTCAAGGCCTGTGGCATTATAGAGTATTAGAGTCTAGTCCCCCTGTGGAGGTGTGAATCCCTTCTCCCAGCTTTCTGGCAGATTCTTGCAGCTCCTGCTTGATCACCCAGCTTGACAGGTAGTTCACTACCTCAGCAGCCAGCACTAATGGAAGCCACTCTGTCTCTTAGTGACTTTTGCGTTCATTTCCAAATGCTAATGGAAGCGTTAGCTTAAAAACCTATTCTAAAGTTTGACCAGGGATCCACAGCTAGCTTTCCTGATGGTAATTTTTGGAATACTTTCTTTCCCCTTTCTGCAAATCAAGACTAGATTTTCCAGCTCCGCGGGTTTTCCCAATGACTCGGACGTTTTGCCTTCAGCCTGGAATGTAATGTTTTGGGGACTTGGACTCTGTGGGTGTCAGGTGATGTCTTGGGGTCTCCCCTCTACCCTGGGCTCTGGCCCTTTCTCTCTCCTGTTGCTTTTACCCTTGCTAATTCAGAGACTGATTTCCTTGCTCATTGAGACAGCAGCAAACCAAGAAAGGAGGAGCCGGGCCTTTCTTCTGCCATCTGAGAACGTTCTACTAGGGATGTCTCCTTCTACCAGAACTAAATAGACCCGGGGAAGCCTCAGGCTCCTTCAGTATCTTTTTGGGCAGCAGCTGTTTGAGACCATCTGTGGCACTTCTGGCAGAGAGGAAGCCTGGGGGCTTGCCTGGGAGACAGACATACTCAGGGCAAAGTGGAAAGGCTGGACCCAATAGCCCTGATCCCCAGGGAGGCCTAACTGACCCTCAGAGCTGAGGAGCTGGACTCCTGGGGACAGGATGGCTGTGGCCAATCATGGTGGCATCAGCGACCTGGCACTGAAAGACCTCTGTGCTCTAAAATAGCCACCCAGTGGCCAGTCACAGCCCATCATGCTTGCACCAGTCTTGTGCATTTGAAAGGTTTTTTTGCTTTCGTTTTTAACACTAAAGAGTCTCAGATTCAAATGTGATTGTCATCTCTTTTAAAGTCCAATTAGATGAAAAGGTCAGGGGTGATGGAAGAACTAGGGTATATGGGAGAGGCAAGCTGGGCCCCTCTGCCTGGGGAACAGAGAAGTTGAGCATCTGTGCAAGGGCTTGCACATGACAGTCATGACCTTGACTTGACCGAAGTCATGTGCTGGGGCTGTGAGCTCCTGGGTCTCCCCACTCTGGAAGCTGGGGAACCTGTTGATCCTGCAAGGATCACCTTGCTCAACACTGAATTGCTTGGGCCACTTTCAAGGCTCCGCTCAAGCTTCCCTGAGTCCCTGAAGCCCACCTTAATGTCCTCTTCTTTTTAGATTCCGCGATTCCTAGACATACACAGATCATGATTTTAGAAGCAGGACAGTGAACTTATTATTTAAGAGTTTTTCTCCCCAGCTAGGCTATGAACGGCTGTCAGCTGAAATGTTTCTTTAATGTACCTGGTACAGAGCCTGACACACACGAAGATACTAAAAAAAAGTCTGTAGAATGGACAAAGGAAACATTGGGACATTCATTTTCTCTTCTGTCCCCAACACCAGGGCTGATCTCTGAGCTGTGCCAGAATGTCGCACAGTGGGTGTTCACAATGCTCTCTATTCTTCTGCTTACTGCTACCCAGGACTGCTGAAACCTGTGTCCTTTAGGGGCTGCTCGAGTGCCAAGCCCTCCCGGATCTTTCCCTGACCATCCCTTCTTTGAGCAGAGGCCTTTCCTTCTGTACTACCCAGATCACATTGCTTTGGTTAACATTAGGCATGACCACATCTCCCCCCAATTCCCCGCATTGAGCAGGGGGTCTTCACAGGGGATCTTCGGATGGCGGACCTTCAGGTGTTGTACACTTTTACCTAGGAGGCATCTATAGTTTCTTTCATCCTACTCTCAAAGCTAAGAAATGCCATTCAGGATTGTTTGCAAGTTGACTCCTGGTGGTAAGAATCATTTCTGGGTCCTTTTGGCACTTTAGTGGCATTTCACAAATGCTTGTTAGATTTAATTAAATTGTATTTCCTTGTTGCATTCTCTAATCAGCTCTGACCTCAGAGTCTGGAGACCAGGAGTGGTCCTGCCAGAGCACATGACTCTGCCGGCCCCCATGTGAACAGATGCTCTCACCTCTCTGTGCTGGGCTCTTTACCCTCGGACTCTGAGCACCTTGAGGGCAGGACTCCCGCCTCTGATTCTCCTGGCATCAGGCTTGGGACCCAGCACAGAGAAGGCACTGAAAAGAGTGGCTGATCCAGCCACCTAAAACAGGATAACTATCATCACCTGCCATCCTTGTAGGGCTGTTCCGGCATGAAATGAGGTGCAAGAATTTCCTGGAAAAGTTTAAACTGCTGTGCACATGTAACCGGGCTGTTATTAGGACAGGGCAGCTACATTTACATCTTGCTGTTACTCAAGACAGTGGGCATGAAACTGTCCAGATGCAGCTCAGAAAAGTCTGAGTGTGAGTGGCATGTCCGTCCATCTGCCGGCTGCATGTCAGGCATGTGTCCCCCTCCCCTCCAGTTTGGAAGTTCTGACTCAGACCCCCAGAGATTCCCTCTCACGGAGCAGCTGCTTGGTCTAGAGGAAAGAGCATGAGACTAATATTTTTCTCACGAATTTTACTCCAGCAGGTCACTTAACCTTCTCATGCCTCCAATTCTTTATGTGTAAACTAGGAACAAGGAGTCCTCCCCTATCCGCCTCACCGAGGAGTTACGAGAGGGCAATGGGAGGATGACAGTGACATATAACTAGGATGCACTAACGGGACTTCTCTGGCAAATTAGGAGGAATAAGTACACTCTCACGGTGCCAGCCCAGGCAGAACACACACACGCACACACACACATGCACACGCATGCACCTGGCTGTGCAAAGCACAGCCACGGGAGCACGTATCGATACTGACAGACGAAGTTGGTATGTTTTCCCATGTGACAATCCTGGGCAGGACTCTACAGTACATTAAGCATATTCACAGACATGGATTCTTCTGTACCCCTTGCAATCCTGGGAGGCTCCAGCCCCTTCTTATGAAGCAGCACCAGGTGAAGCACACAAGCACACAGAGGGGGAGTGATGCAGAGCCCCAGCTATCACATGTTGCTTGTGACACCACACCCTCTCTCTGTGGGCCAGCCCCCCACCCAGGACCTCTGTAATCTGATGCAGCGCCTGCACAGTGGGGATGCCTGTGAGTCACCTGCCAGAGCACAGCTCGAACATCTGGATACCCTCCCAACACTGACATGGGGACACGCCCTGGCATGTGCAGGCCTCCTCGGGCACTGGAACTATCCGAGGCACGTGCCATTGGCTTTGCCACCTGCCCTAGATTTTGCACAAGGCTCTCTGGACTGAATGGGAAGGTGCACCCCGCACCTCACAGGTGAAATTATGGGATTATTAACTGTAGTCTGTGCACTTCTAAAGAGGGCTTAAGACAATATAAATAGGTGGAAGACCTCGACTCCCCTCTTCCAGCCCACAGAAGATGGGAGGCAGAGAGACCCTAAGAAAGAGAGAAAGCAAGAAGAGCCAGCCCATCTGTGAAGGTGGATGACAGATCCAGAGAGCTAGAAAGGGAAAGTGCATGCCCTGAGAGACAGAGGCGGGGCTCTCTGCCGGTACCTCCACCACGTGCGAGGAAAAGCCTGTCTGTGACATCTCCAGCCCAAAGGAGGTCTCGTTCTTGTTGGTGCCTGCAACAGAATGACAGAGAGATGTCAGCTCCATGTCCAATCACTTAGCTCCAGACAGAGCTGCCGCTCAACCCACAGCTCCTGCTTCCTTGGGGCATCATTAGGAGGTGGGGCTCTCTTTCAAGGGGGGGCTCTGAAGCTGAGGCCAGTAGGGTGCCAGCCTCCTCAGCCCTCCCCAGCACTCTGTGCGGTGGGGAGCACCACACACCTTCCAGGTGCCCGTGTGAATTGTTACTGGTAGCCCACTTACTTCTGTAAAGGGCTCGGGACAAATTATATTACAGGGCATGCATACTGTAAGACTGCTAAAATTGGGGGTAAAGCAAGCAAAAGTGCACAGAAATAGTGTACGTTTTTGGCAAGAAATGGAATTTCCCACTTTGTTCATTCCTTTTATTCACTAGCTTTGGTTCCAGATGCCTTTGGATGGACCTCAAACATCAAATCCACCCTCAGAGGGAGATCTGTCGCCACTGCAGATTTGCGTAAGAAATCCCATGAGTGCTGAAAGCCTCTCCCCACGGAGGGGCTCCCTGAACACACCATTGGAACCAATGTTCTCATCATCCAAGGCGACCATTTTGAGGAGAAATACACAGATTTGGATATTTGAGTTCTGGAGTGGGTGTCAAAGCTCATGTCCATACTTCATATTCATCTGCCCTTGTTTACGAGGGCCATTTTAGTCTCTTTTCGTGTGTCTGTGGCTTGTCATTTCCAATGCACTGCAGACTTCTCAGGCTTTACATGGCCTTCTATTTCTTTTTATAATCCTCCCATATGCCCAAAGCCCGATATTGGAAGGGCCCACTATAGCAATGGTGGAAATGAAATTCGTACAAATCAAATCAAAAATGGAGCTTAAATCATGAGGAGAGAGGCAATTTGAAGGACTCTGCCAAAAATAAAAAATGCTTTTGGTGGAGTGGAAGCAGCTGGCATATAGGGATTAAGGGTTTCAGGATATGGAGTCAGACTCTGCTAGGTACAAGCTAGGGTTGCCTGATGCAACATAGGATGCCCAATTAAAACTGAATTTCAGGCAACAAATAAGTTTTAACCTAAGCCTACCACACCCACTGTATTTTATTTTTGCGAAATTCGGCAACCTAGTTCAAAGCCCACCACCGTCCCAAGCTGTGAGATTTTTGGCAGGTCACTGAACTCCTCTGAGTTTCAGTTCTCCCAGCGGTAAAAATGACAGCATTAGCAAAGTAATCTTTCAGCATTGTTCATAAAACGCACAGCCTCACGTCTGGCACGGAGTCATACTCAGTTGTTGGAATTTATGACTTATTTATTTTTGGGGACAGGGTCTGGCTCTGTTGCCCAGGCTGGAGTGCAGTGGCATGACCTCAGCTCACTGCAACCTCAACCTCCCAGGCTCAAGTGATCCTCCCACCTCAGCTTCCCAAGTAGCTAGGACTACAGGCACACACCACCACACCTAGCTAATTTTTGTAAATTTTTTTTTTTTTAAAGAGATGAGGTTTTGCCTTGTTGCCCAAGCTGGTCTTGAACTCCTGAACTGAAGTAATTCACTCACCTTGTCCTCCCAAAGTGCTGGGATTACAGGCGTGAGTCACCACGCCTGGCCTGGCATTTATTTTTATGGAAGACTTTTGCTAAGCCATTCCGTCTTGTGGGATTGGGTTGTGCTCTGTGGAGTTTACCTGATATAAGCCCAGGAGAGAGTGGATCCCCTCTTAGCATGCATTGCTCACCTTCCAGGCTGAAGATTCTGTCCCCCAGGGCATCGACAATGTCCTTCAAGGCAGCCTCATCAGTGACATTGAAGAAGTGCTTGTCATCGGGGTCACTGGCGATGTATTTGATTTCATTTAGAAAAGTTTCTGGATTGATGCCCCTGCGGTTGTAGTAGCCCAGGACCTGCCAGGGAATAGGGGCAGGAACCACAAACCAGAACATAGCACAGACGTTCCCATATACCACATGGCCTAGACCCTGGGGAACCCAGGGTGGGCTGGAGCCAGGGCCGGTAGCCATGAGAGTTCCTTGTGATGCCACTTGCGTGCGGAATAGACTCTCTTTTAGGGACAAGATAAAGCCTTTGTGCTAAGCTAGGGTCTGGGAGCTGGGAGGTTTGGAGGTGTGTTCTAGTTTTCTGAGGTTCCAGACCCTCCCTGGCAATGGATAGCGGGGCAACCCAAACTCACAGCTTTTGTGGATAGGCCAGAGCAGTGCAGAAAGATTCTCAACTTGTTGTTTAGAAGATGAAATGGGAGGCTCTTTTGAGGGCCTGGACACTTGTGATACTGCCTGAAACTAGTCCCTTGGAGTGCCCGGGGATCTGATGGCAAAGCCTCTAAAAGACCATCAGCAGCCCTTGGGCGGGCCAGGACTTACGGCCACCGCATATCTTGTTACGTTGTCTCTCTCGCTTTGCTGGATCACCTTCTCCAGGTCTGGGCTGTCGTGGGACTCTCCATCTGTGATGACAATCATCACTTTCTTGGCCCCTTTCCTTCCGCCCTTCTGGAAAGCCTCTGAGCTGGAAGCCAAGCGCAGGGGCAGGGTCATGAGAAAGAAGTGGGATTGGGGCAGCCCCTGATGCTCCTGCAGAGGGGCGGCCACAGAAACCAGGACTAAGTGCCCCTTGGGCAACCCAACAGATGCCAGGACCTCGAACCAAAAAAGTAGCTGGATTGAGATGGCCAGAGCTACTCTTTCACCAGCTGCTCAGAAGGTTCTTAGATCTGTTGTCTTTAAATGAAATGTTGAAAAGCTCCTTTGGAGTCCTGACCTTGCTGTTTTGGGCAGGTCAAAAGGATGAGGTGGACCTGGGAGGGGAGTTCAGGGGCAGGTGACAACCTTTAGAGGCATTAAGTCAGCGGTTCACAACTCCAGCTGCTCACTGGCATCTTGTGGAGCGAGCCTTTAAAACCTGTTGGCCGGGTGCGGTTGCTCACGCCTGTAATCCTAGCACTTTGGGAGCCCAAGGTGAGCGGATGATCTGAGGTCGGGAGTTCGAGACCAGCCTGACTAACATGGCAAAACCCTGCCTCTACTAGAAATACAAAACTTAGCCGGGTGTGTTGGCATGCGCCTGTAATCCCAACTACTCGGGAGGCTGAGGATTAAAATTGCTTGAACCCGGGAGGAGGAGGTTGCAGTTAGCCGAGATCATGCTACTGCACTCTAGTCTGGGCGACAGTAAGACTCTGTCTCAAAACAAACAAACAAACAAACAAACAAACAAACAAACAAACAAAAACTGTTGATGCCCCAGCCTCAGCCAGACCCCTGAAATTGGAATCTCTGGGATGGTGGCCTGGATATTAGTATTTTTATTTGTTTATTTATTTTTAATTGAGACAGAGTCTCCCTCTGTTGCCCAGGCTAGAGTGCAGTGGCACAATCTCAGCTCACTGCAACCTCTTCCTCGCAGGTTCAAGCGATTCTCGTGCCTCAGTCTCCTAAGTAGCTGGGATTAGAGGCCTGTGCCACCACGCTTGGCTAATTTTTGTATTTTTAATAGAGATGGGGTTTTGCCATGTTGGCCAGTCTGGTCTCGAACTCCTGGCCTCAAGTGATCCGCCCGCCTCTGCCTCCCCAAGTGCTGGGATTACAGCTGTGAGCCACCGTGCCGGGCTGGCACCAGTATTTTATAACGTTCTGCTGAGCATCCAGAGCTGAGACTCACTTTCCTTCGTACTGAAAACAGGATGTGCCAGGGTGACTCGGCATCCAGACAACACTGACCCATAAAATACGTGCGACGAGGCCTGACAGAGCTCTGGCTTCCTCACAGATTGCTTTGATTCTATTTTGGGAAACATTAAATATCAAATCCATGACAAATATTTCTCTTTCTCACTTTTTATTTTGTTTTCAGTATCCGGAGCATGAGCTCAGCCCACCTATCAGGCAATCCAGCCCAGGGGACAGCAGGGCTGGCACCTTGACCGTCAACCTGGCAGACAGGCTCTTGTAGCGGGCCATCGGGCTACGAAGTGTGAAAAACTGGCTCCCAAATCACCATTGGCTTTTAGTGTCCCTGTGGCCTGCCTTCCTTTAGACCATGAGGTTCTGAGGGGTATAGACATGGTCTCACTGAGGAGTCTGGCCCAGAAGTTATAATTTGCCAATAAGGATCTAAAAATAAATGTTAAACTCTTAGACTCTGAGGTTATTCCTAATGAGTCTGACCCACAGCAAGGCAGGACAGGTCACAGATTTAAGCTCTGTAGTGACAGGTTAAAGAGCCACATGGCTTTGGTATCACAGGTATCTCTTCTTACGTAGCACACTGAGGAACAGATGCATATGATTTAGGAGTTGAGGAATTTGCAAAAGCTGAAATAAATTAGTTTAGAACATCTTCAAACTACCAGCAAAGAGAAAAAAACATCCGCCATTCTCTTAGCAGTGCTCCAATATGCTGGATATGTTGCCTTAAAAAACCCACTAATTTTAGTATGTGCTGTGGACTGAAGCCTGCAGAAGCATGTGCCACATGACAAGAACAGATTTTGAGCTCAAGCTCAACCCAGTAGCAGGAGAACTCTGCTATTCTTTCCAAGGAGATTCTAGATGCTTCTGTGACTGCATGGAAGGGCCAGGCCCAGGAATAAAACGCCCTGCAAAAAAGCATGGCAGGAGCAAAGCATGTTTTATTATATATGGAGCCAAGAAAAATGTCAGGATCATATTTCCATAGAGTGGAATAGTGTGAATGTCATATGAATCTGTAATTGTGTGAATATCAGCATGAGTCATCAGATTTTAAATTGTGATTTTGCACTGGGAAAGGGACTTGGATTTGTTCGTTTGTTAATTAGATTATACATTCCTTGAGAGCAGTGAGAGCTGTATACTAACAACAGGCTCCATGGGCCTAGAAACCAGAGTGGCCCATGGAGATTGAGGCCACGTCATAACTTGTTTCTGCTCAAAACCTGCACAGGTTCCTCTTTCTCTCAGGGAAAGCCCAGGTTCTGACAACGGCTCCCTAAGCCCTCTGAAATCTGGCCCATTTCCTCTCTTAGCCTCTGGTCCTGCTCACTCACCCCCACCTACACTGGACTCTTCGATGGTCTGGAGTCCTCAGGCACACCAAGCCTTTGAGCTGTTCCCTCCCAGCCATCTGCTTGCCAACAACTCCCTCAACTCCTTTCAAATCTCCAGTCAAAGGCATCCGTCAGGGAAGCCTTTCCTCACCGCTCTGTTCATGCTGATTCCGTACCTGCCCTCTGCAACTGCTCCACTCCCCCTACCACACTTCATTCTCCCCATAGCTTTCATCTCCTTCTACTATGCTATGTTATTTATTTATTTGTTTATTGTCTGCCTCTCTCTCTAGAATGTCGGCTCACGAGGGCACAGTATTTGTACCTATGCTATTCACTGATCTAGCCCTGGTGCCTAAAATAGTGAGAGGCACATAGTAGATGCTCAATAAAGTGTTATGTGGCCAAAGGTAGAATCACACCACGTTGTTCAGGGGCCCTCTCTGCTTCCCTGTTGTACATAGCTTCCAGGCTCGTTTTCTTAACGTGTGTATCTGATGATTACACTCTACTAATCAAGAACCTGCTATGGCCACCCATGCTGGTTTTAACTACAACATCATCACTCTCACCATCTTTACATGGCTCACTTCCCACCAACATGAACCCCTTGCTGTGGTCAAGAGGAGTGCATCTCTGAATGCAAATATTCCTTGACTTTCCCTCTCCTCTGCTGGCATCACGGTGGAATGTCTTGTGTGGCACATCTTCTGTTCACCTGTTTTTGTTGGAATCCCAGGGTCTTCCCAGGACAGGTCCAGTGCCGCCTCCTCCTGGCAGTTCTCCTTGGCCCCTCCATGGGGGCCTCTCCCTCTCTCATCCTCACTGAGTCAGGGTTAGGGTGAATGCTTGTCACAGCCCTCCCATCAGACTGTGAGCTGCCACAGCCAGGACCCACAGGTTATCGATATCTTTATAAGCCCTCCTGTTCATGGCCTGCATCTTTGCCCTTTCGAAGGAGCGTAGGAAAAAGAAATGCATTAAGAATAAACTGAGTGAGGACAGAAAACCTTTCACCTTAAAAGGCACCAGCTGTAGTTTGGGACTTGAATTTGGCAAGTTGGGAAGATCAGAATTTCGACCTTCATTTGAGGTGAAGATTGCAACCTCAGCAGTGCTCATGAGTCAGGGATGGTTCAAACTACCTGGTGAGTCACACACAAATAATTGACCTGAGGTTGGTGAGTTGTAAAGTCAGGTCCAAATAGCGGGTTTTATTCCTGTATGAGTCAGTTAGCTTCACACTGAGAAAGTGAGTGCTGGTGGTTATGGGCTGCCTTCCTTGCCCCAGTCATTTCACAAGGGCCTGCTGGAGTCTCAGGTCTCACCCCGAAGAAGGCAAAACAAAAGCAGAAAAATGGACCATTCCTTGTGAGGATGAATAAGAGAGCCACCTTCACATGGAGAAATGCTCCTTTAGGAAAAGCTTGAGCGAGTTTTATCAGCAAACAGAAACACGCTAGTTGAGCAATGACTTAATTGTAAAGAGTTATGAGGTTGGAAAAATCTTAATCTTTTGAGCACATGAAATCACGATACTACTAAATAGTTCTTTTTTTCTTTTCTTTCTTTTTTTGTTTTTTGAGATAGGGTCTGGCTCTGTTGCCTAGGTGGAGTGCAGTGGTGTGATCTTGGCTCACTGTAGCCTTTGCTTCCTGGGCTCAAGTGATTCTCCCACTTCAGCCTCCTGAATAGTTAGGACTACAAGCATGCACCACCATGCCTGGCTAATTTTTGTATTTTTTTTGTAGAGACGAGGTCTCATGGTTTTGCCTAGGCTGGTCTCAAACTTATGGGCTCAAGTAATCCTCCCACCTCAGCCTCCCAAACTGCTGGGATTACAGGTCTGAGTCACTGCACCTGGCCTCAATAGCTCTTACATTGTGGATTTTTTAAAAACACATCAACTAACCCTACATAAGGTGGGATCATAAGGTAAAAGGTCTGTGGTCTCAACAAATGTAGCGGAACTCATATTTATAGGTGTAACATTCAGATATTTAAAATCTAAATGCCTTCGACACAGTCATCTTATGAGTTTAGGTCTTGGCTCAAGAGATCTGCGGCATTGCTTTTAAAATCGGCTAATTTCAGTGGGGGGATGACCACCATGTTTTGAGCAACAACATTACTGGAATAAGCATGCAGACTTCTGCATGGACAATATCTAGGGATAACATTTATCTGGATGAGTGAGTTCTGGTGTGATTTTATTTTATTTTATTTTATTTCTTTTGAGGCGGAGTCTCACTCTGTCACCAGGCTGGAGTGCAGTGGCACCATCTTGGTTCACTGCAACCTCTGCCTCCTGGGTTTAAGCAATTCTCCTGCCTCAGCTTCCCAAGTAGCTGGACTACAGACGCATGCCACCATGCCTGGCTAATTTTTTTTTTTGTATTTTAGTAGAGATGGGGTTTTACCATGTTGCCCAGGCTGGGTCTCAAACTCCTGAGCTCAGGCAATCTGCCCACCGCGGCCTCCCAAAGTGCTAGGATTACAGGTGTGAGCCACACACCTGGCCAAGTTCTGGTGTGATTTTTAAGGAATCAGCCTCACTACTCTACAGTCTCAGGTGTCAGATTTGACTGCGTTCTTTCTACTCCATTGATGACTAACTCTCCATAAGAAGACCCCACCCTCACAGAACCTACTTCTTATAGAGTGTCTGTGGCAGAAGCTATTTTTCAAAGTTGGCTGCAACAATATCCCCCATCCTAAATGCTCTTCTGCAAAATGACCTCACTGTTCATCCATCAAGGCAGAACCAAATTCCCTTCCCCTTGAATCTGGGCTAGGCTCAGTCACTTGCCCAACTAATAGAATGTGGCAGAAGTCATATTCTGGGACTTCGAGACCAGGTTACAGGCAGTCTCCCAGGTCCTGCCTGGGTCTCTTGGAAAGCTCACTCTTGGGATGCTCTCTCTAAAACTCCAGTTGCCATGCCACAAGGAAACCAAGCCACATGGCCACATGTGGGTGCTCAGGTCACCAGTCCCAGCTGAGCTCTCAGCCAACAGCCAGCAACAACTGCCAGTCACGTGAGAACCTTCAGATGACAACAGATCCAGGTGACACCAGACCGCAACCACCTGAGAGGACCCAAGAGAAAACCAACCAGCTGAGCCCAGCCAAACCCCAGAACTCTGAGGAATTAAGAAATTATTGTCTCAAGGTACTAAATTTTGTGGTAGTGTGTTACATGGCAATAGATAACTATAATTCTTCTACTTGTTTTTTTACCGTGCAAATTCGATGCCAAATGCTGTCCGGGTCTCTGTTCCTCCTCTCTGCTCAATGTGGCTGGCAGCTTCCACCACATCTTTTACAGACCTGTAGTCATTGAGGTGAAACTCATGCACCACATCTTCTCCATACTGCACAACTCCAACCTGCAAGGTAGAGGAGAGGGCAACAGAACATTTTGATCCCCTGAAACTTAGAATTTGAGAGTGAGGATCCCCGGGAGTTTCTGTGTGATAATTCAGGAGGCAGGAGGGCTGAGGACCTTTGCAAGAAAGTAACCACAGCCAAAGGGAAGTAGGTTCTGCAAAGTTCTGGGAATGAATGGACAGCTTGATGGCACAAGAAGGGGTGCATATAGAGAATGGAGACTTTGTGATTGAAAGAAAGGCCCAATAATTATGCTTCTTTCTTAGGAAAACGAAAGTGGAGCAGAGAATCTAAGTACAAAATATTACGAACAGTGTGGGTGGAAGATCACAGTGTTTACCAAACTCCAAAACTGAGGTTCCTTAAAACTTGTTAGAGAAGAGGTTCTTTTGTCCATGGATGATAAAATAATGACAATATTAATAGCTTCAAAATAAACAAAAAGCTTCAAGACCTATGGTAGGAATAGAACGATGAAACGTTCCTATTGGATGAGCCCACAGAGTTTATTTGGCACACGTGCCCTTCTAATGCTGGATTTTCACCCATGATACCCTAAAGGATGACCTTCTGGTGGTGGGGAACTCATTACTTCATGAGAAAGTCCACTCCCTTTTTAACAGCCCTAATTGTTACAAATAATTTCTTAGATTGACTTGAAATCTGCCATCTAATAACTTCTAGTCATTAGTCCTCACTCAGGCAGAATAAAAGGGAATGGATCTACCTCTGCTTTAGCCAGGCAGCATTTCAGATATATGAGCCTAGCAGCCCTTACCTCCTCTCCTGCCATCTTCCCTCCACGATCTATATGTCTAATTCTCCCCTGTGCCTCACTCGACAGGGCTCTAGCATCCACTCAACCATTCCCACCTTCCTTCTCACTTTTTAGCTTGTCTAAGTCTTCATAGGTGGTGTGTTGTGTCTGACCCGTGAATGAGCCCTCCCCCAAACTGTCATTTGATGTGCTGCACTGGAGAAGAGTGTCCTGAGCTGCAGCGCCCTGGTGCCGGCTGGCCCTACTACCTCTGTCCTCTTACCTACACCTCCTTTGTGCACACACAGATCTCGCCTAGACCTAAGGCAGCACCTGCCATCGGTTTGGGTGGCCCTGTTCAGAAGAGGGCCCAAGAGATGCTCACCTGGATCTGCCCTGGGCCGATGTAAAACTTCTTCAGGATGTTGATGAGGAAGTGCTGAACCTCCACCCAGGGGTAGATGCTGTTGGAGCCATCCAGGACAATGACGATGTCCATGTAGGTCTGGCACCCTGGGGAGTGGGGACACGGTTATGGCTACCCAAGGAGCAGTGTCTGCGAGTCTCTGATACTCTGGACGATTGTTCAAAGGACAAATGAATGACTCTGCTCCATGTGTGTGATTCCCTGGGCTGGGAAGCTGTCCCTGGGCTGGACATTTATCTGGGCAACGTGAATGAGCCCAGGAAGTCCTGGCTATGTCCCACCACTCTGCTGGCTGTTTGAACAAAGCTTAAATTAAGCCTGATCACTTCTATTCCTAATCAGGGACTGACCACTACCAATTGGCCAATGCTTCCGAGGCAGCCAGCACTGCTCAAATCAGTACCTTGTTATCGTTTGTTTTGCTGTGATGAGCAGGCGGCATTTACCACTCACAGCCCTAATGAATGGATTTCTTCTTTTAGGAGGGAAATATGATGTCATGGCTAGAAATGTGGGATGTGGCATCACACTGACTCCTGGCTTTGGCACTCCTTAGCTGTGTGACCTAGGGCCAGTCAAGAAACCGCTCAGCCTCAGTTTTCTCTTCTGTAAAACAGGCACAATGATAGTAAAGAGTTGCCTAGAAAAATTTATGAGAAGATGCTTCTAAAGGGCCAAGCACAAAGCAAATGCTTAGTAAATCTGAGCTGATCATGGTTTCACTTTTTTTTTTTTTTTTTTTTAAAGGAAACCACTGAGTTAATATGGTACTGATATCATCAGGTCAAACTCTCATGCTATTATCTCTGCCTCTGAATATAAAGGTTGCTTTATGCTCTTGTAATATTAATACTAAATTAGGCTGGGAGTGGTGGCTCACACCTGTAATCCTAGCACTTTGGGAGTCCGAAGAGGGTAGATCACCTGAGGTCAGGAGCTCGAGACCAGCCTTGCCAACATGGCAAAACCCCTTCTCTACTAATAACACAAAAATTAGCCAGGAGTCAAGATGCACACCTGTAATCCCAGCTACTCAGGAGTCTGAAACATGAGAATTGCTTGAACCCAGGAGGCAGAGGTTGCAGTGAGTCAAGATCAGGCCACTACATTCCAGCCTGGGTGACAGAGTGAGACTCTGCCTCAAAAACGAAACAAAACAAACAAATAAACAAAAAAAACTAAATTAAAAGGAATGATGAAAATCATCAAAGAAAATTAACAAAACATTGGCCATAACAAACGTAAAAAAACCCCTCCTCTTTTAAAATCTAAGTAATTTATTTCTGTTTGTCAGCTGTTGGAGTTACTTTGAAATATTGCATACACTCTGCGTCTGGGCATCTGCTCATTTTTATTGGCGAGTTTTTATACTGTTATAAAATCCACTTTATAACAATGCTGCATGAACCTTTTGTGTGTTAACTGTTCCAGTAATTCTTGCATTTCGAAGAGGCACTATGTCGAAGTCAGTGCTGAGCAGACAGAGGAAGGTGGGGGTGGCTTTGGGTTGGGACACCTGTTGCAGGCTTTGTGTTTAGCAGAGCATTTTAGAAGCATTTGGGCAACTTGAATGCTCCACCACTTCTTGTCCCATCTGCGTACTGTGTACAGCATGATACTCTTGGCCTGGCAGGGCCTCATACATTTGTCCTTTTCTGGTTTAGTTCGGCTCTACACACGTGGACTGAGCGCCTGCTATGTGCTGGAGCTCTGCATGGTGCAGGCGGCAGTGGGGGTGACCAAGACAGAAATGCCTTGATTTGGAGGAGTTCATAATCTTTTAACAGGTTATTTTTATTTTTATTTTTAAGCCAGCTTTATTATTAGAATGTATTTATTATTGCTGATTTCTTTATTACAATTTCAAATTTTTCTTTTTAAGACACCTTGGGAACAAACTGGCTTGAGGGCTTCCTAAACATGACTGAACACTCCTTTGGGGAGCTTAAAAACACACACACTCACATGCACGCATGCACACACGCATGCACATACTCCTACTGAATTAGGACCTACGTGGGGGTACGCTGGAATCTGCATTTGATAAGCTTCAGAGCAAAGCTGCTGGTCAGCCAGGTGAGGAGGCCTCCACCACATGAGGTTCAGGGACCGTAGGATGGTCACATCTTGGCCTGGAGGGACTAGCTCTAGGGGTGGTGACATTCCCCAGTGGACCCCTCACGTACCCTGAACTCAGGTCTCCTCCTGTGCTGTGGCTCTGCCATTTCCTCTGTCATTTTGTGTGAATAGAATCCACGTCTCCTTGTCCCTCAGGAGGACCACCTCTCTGCCCCTACTGGATTGATGCTTCCTCCTACTCTCTTCCCCAGGCCCCACTGACTGGGCCCTGTTGTCTGGAGGGCAGCTGCCGGCAAGCCAGAGGTGCTAATTCCCGAACCCTCCATAAAACAGGCAGCAGCCGCTTGGGTGATGGTATTTAGTGCAGAGGAAACAGTGAGGCTCAGAGCCAAGAAGTCTGGGCTTGTGGGAGGCAGGGTCTGAGCAGTAATTCCCCAGATTTTCTTGGCGGGTGGGCAATGAACAAGAGGTTTTACGTTCCATGAGGCTCTGGATGAACTGGACAGAACTCCCTGCTGTCCAGGAGCACTAGTTTGGTGGAACTATTACCAAGGAGATTTCTGTTCTCCCTGTTCATCTACAGGGCTGCTGCATTGTGCAACATCAGGGGGCGCCATTCACATGGTAGTCTAAGCGAACAATCCCCCTAGAATTGTGCAGTGCACAGCTTGTCTGCTGCATGTGCTTACCAGGTAACCTCCTATATACCCAGGGTTTCTACAGTGAGCCTCCCTTGAGGCCGGGACTGTCTTTGAAACCTTAGCTCATTTGTTCCTCACTATCACACTTGGGAGAGGGAGGCCAGGATTATGACTCCCACAGAGGCCCAGAGAGGTGGAGTGATACATTCCAGGTCATTCGGAGAGCTGGGGCGGGGCAGGGCTAGAGTCCAAATGCTGCTTTCTAGCCACAGGTTGTGGTGCTCAGGGCCCAAGTCTCTCTGGACCATCCACTGCTCACCTTGAGGTTGCAGATTTGAAACCACTTACTTTGGAGAGCTGGGGCCACGGTCTTGGAGAACCTGAAGTTGGAGTTGACTCTTGAACACATCCCTGTGGTGTAGTAGGAGCTCCCACACTCGTGAGACCAGAGGGGGCTGCAGGCCTGGGGAGGACAGTGCAGACCCCTAGTCAGCGAGGGGCCTCAGAGAGGATCCGGGTCCAATGGCCTGAAGCCCAGTCCCATCCTCCATGACCCAAGACAGACTTCTCCTATCTGAGGGGTGAGGGGGTGAGGGGTCTTCTTTGGGTCTAACTGAACTCTCTCTTGCTGCAATGTGTACTAGTTCCTTTGGTTTCAGGTCTAATGGAGAAAAACTAATCTTGGAGTCACTTTCATTGTTTTTTCAAGGCCCCGTTCTCCATTTCATCATTTAGGAATATGATACTTCCTCACGCTACCTGTCCACCCCACTCACCCATCCATCACACGGGATCTGGGGAAGCCTTTTCATTCGTGGGTGTGAACCCTTCAAGGGTCACTAGAATAACTCCTCTGTCTGAGAGGTCGCCTGAAGGGCCTTCCTGGGCAAAGTTCTAGGACTGGGTCCCAAAAACATGCCATGGCTCATATCGGGGCAGGGGAAGAGAAGAATGTCTGTATTCTTTCTGTGAAATGTTCTACCAAAAACAGTGATGTCAGTCCCCATTGAAGGACCGAGTGATGAGTTCTTCTCAGAGTCATTGTCATTAAACATGAAAGCTCAGCTCCATGCTTCCATTGCTATCAGGAAACCCAGAGCTAATTTTGTGCTGTAATTTCCTTTGGTTTAGGGGAGTAAGTATTCTACTTCCAATCCCCTTCTTTAATTACTTTATTTTTAAGCCCAGACCTTAAAGGTTATGTTTTATGTGTGTACTTTGTTGAAGCTGCTCTACGTAATGTTTGGAAGTTGGGGGCGGGGGTCAGGAATAAAGAATGGACAGATGGGTGGATGGATAAGTGGATGGATAGACAGATGATGGATGGATAAGTCGATGGTAGTTGGATGGATGAATGATGGATAGATGGATGATGAATGGATGTATGGATAAATGGATGGAAGATGGATGGAAGGATGGTGGATAGATGTGGATGGATGGACAGATAGATGAATGGATAATGGATGGATGATGGATAGTGGATAGATAAATAGATAAATGAATGGGTGAATGAATGATGGTTGGATAGATGATGGACGGATAAGTGGATGGATGATGGATGGATAGAGATGATGTATGAATGGGTGGATGAATTATAATAGATGGATGGATGAATGGGTGGATGGATAGATAGATGAATGGATAAGTGGACGGATGATGGATGAATGGATGATGAATGAATAAGTGGATGAAAGATGGATGGATGATGAATGGTTGATGGATGGATGGATGATGAATTGATGGGTGGATGAATGATAGATAGATGATGGAGGTTGATGGATGGAGGCAGGAAGGAATAAATGGAAAGATGGATGATTGCATGGGAGATTGAGGGTGGATGGATGTGTAGACAGATGGGTAGATGAATTCATGGATGGTTGGATAGATGAATGGAGGAATGAATTGTTGAGGGGGGAATGGACTGATGAGTGATTCAATGAATAGGTGACTATTTATAAACCAAGGATTAACCTACTCACAGAGGCCCCAGAGAATATATCACACCATTCCTCTCAGACCTTCATACCACCTTGTGAAGAAGAAATGTGATAAGAAGGCTGAGAGGGAAAAGGGAGTAGAGACAAAGCCCCTGATGGATATGTGTGTGGATAGGGCCAGGGGTCCTGCTTTGTCCCTGGTTGTGGCTAATGAAGGGCTATGGGCTAAATATACATCAAGGCACCTCGTGACTTTCCCTGGCAGAGCCACTGTGTACTCAAGTCCCCTTGCACCCCAGTCATCTTCTTATCTTTTGGTCTTATTTGTCTGATCTAATTTGTCTTGTGATTCATGCCCCAGATGTCTCATTTGTCAGCAGAAATAGACAAGAGCAAAGACTGACACAAGCATCCCCATCTAAAAATGGGCAGTAATTTGTACTGGGCTTTCTGGGGTAAATTTTCTCTGAAATCCTCTCTTGCAACTGTTTCTAGGAACCATCAGTCTCAGAAGGATCCTGTTTGAACCCCAAGCATTGCCCATACTGAAGGCACCACTCCAAGGTGGTGGCAAGGAGCAGGCAGTGCCAATCCATCATACCGCCCACACTCGCTACTGTGTGCAGAACCCACACGTGCTTGCCTGGGCACAGAACAGAGACCTGTAAGCAGGGCCTGCTGCTGTCTGTCCCCCAGCGTCCTGTTAGACATTACTCATTTGCTTGTCGCCTCTCTTTCCACCAGAGTGTAAGCTCCAGCAGGACAGGGTCTCTATTCACTGCCGAATCCCAGTGCCCAGTACTGGGCTTAGCACATACTATGGTAAGTGCTCAGAAACATCGTTGATTAAATGAATGAATGTTTCTACACCTCAACCCAGATATCCCCTTTTCTTTCTTCCTTGCAAAGGCCTGTCTCTTTAAAAACAAAACAGAAGCCTCCTCCAGCCTTCTTCATCTACTCCTGGATAGTTGAGACGGCTTGTCGCTCTGTAGCCCTTCCCTTGGCTGTAGTAAATCTGTGTTTACTTATTTAAGGCATCCCTTCCAAGTCTTCTTTGGGTATGTGGTGCAGCCTGCTTCTTTTTTCAAGCCTAGAGCAGAGATTTGACCTCCAGCCCAGACAACTAGCTCCCCAAGGGAAGGGACAGTCCCCCATCAGACTTGTTGGCTATCTGTACTTTTTCTTGTCCCTTTTCTGGCTGTTCCTGCTTCCCTCGGGGTATGCACATAACAGGGCTCAATTGTGTCTTCTGCCTGGACTGTCCCTGCCAAAACACCCAGGGTCCTGCCACCCAGAATGGCGTAAGCAGGGAGCTAGTGGGGGAGCTGCTTCCTGGAGCACGCAGGGCCAGGCAGCTTGAATGGAGTGGGGGAGAGTGGGTGTACAGTATGTACATGAGGGTGTGTAAGGAGATGCTCCACCCCTCCCCACCTCCACCCCCACCTCTCCTGACCGCAAGCAGTGGCAGGTGGCTCTTACCAGGAAGCTGTTGTCCTTGGGGTTGGTGGCGAGACTAAGGCCGAGGCGCATGTTGTCCTTCCGCTCGGACACGTTGGACAGGGTGACCCTTCCTGGGGTGGGGGGAGAAGCTCAGCTTGCAGCCCCTTCCTGCCCGCCCTCTGCCCAGAGCCTGCTGCTGGTCTGGTCACCTGAGGTGCCTCCCCGATTCTCCCTGACCCTGGGGACCTCTGGCTCTCAGGGTTTACAAAAGGCCTTCCCCAGATGTACTTTCAGGACTTCCTCACAACTCCCTGTGAGATGAGAAAACTGAGTCTCAGAGAGGCCAAACGACCTGCCCAAGGTCACACAGTAAGCACTCACCAAGCCTTCCATCTCCTAGCCCACAGCTTTTCCTCCTCCAGCCATCCGACTGGAGCCCCACTCCCCCGTGTGCCCCCAAACATGCCATGGCATCCCACCTGGGCTGGCTGCTTCTGTGCAGTTCCCCTGCTATGCTTTCCTCCAAGTCGACCCCCATCCACACATAACCAGTCCTGTGCCCAACTCTTTCCGTGCCCGCTTCTCTGCTCATCTGAACCACCAACATGTGACAGCTGAGAGAGCTCCCTCTCATGGGTAACAGACAGTCAACTCAACAAGAGCCTTCCAGAGCTACCAGGCCTTGCCCAGGAACGCCACTCTGAAGGTGGCTGCCAAGAGCGGTGCTTAGGAGCCGGGTTATCAGCCTGCTGGGAGTAGGGAGAGGGTCGGCTTGGCGGCAGATGAGAATAAAAAACATTGCATCGCTTAAGGTTTTACCAGATCATCCTGGAGGCCACTGAAGGAAGGGAAGTGAGTCTGAATTCCCTAGAAGTGTGTTAGTGTGTGTGTGCACGCACACACACGTGTACAGGAAGAGGGAGTGGGACAGGCTGGGGAGCTAGAGTGTGCCAGCCCTAACCTGCAGTGTGAACAGCTCTGGATGGCTTCCCTGCCTGGGGGAGGAGTAATTTCTTTTTTCTTTTCTTTTGCCTTCTCTCCCCTTCCTTTTCTTTACTTTTCTTTTCTTTTTTTTTGAGGCAGGGTCTCACTGTGTCACCCAGGCTAGAGTGGAGTGGCACCATCACGGCTCACTGCAATCTCCAACTCCCAGACTCAAGCAATGGGAGGAATAATTTCTAAGGAGGCCTCAAGCAAGAATGGGTTGTACTGCGCTGTGTCAGTGACTGGAAGTGTGAAGAGTCGGCCTGGCTCCCGGGACACACAGGTCAGGAAGGCCAGCTGGTGCGGGAGTCTGGGGGTGGGCCGCTGGCAGAGCCCAGCTTGTCAGACACAGACTGTTTCGTGGACTGGAGGGTGGGGGCAGCTGTGTTTGTTGTTTTGCCTTTTTGGTTTTCCTCAGTTTGAAGCAAGGCTCCTTTTGAAATCTGCCCTTCTTGACTGTGCTAAGAATGACTGGGCTTGATTTCTCTTTTGTCTGTCCAAACAAGCACGAGAGAAAACAACAGTAAAGCGCCGGTGTTTCTGAGATGCTTTATCATCTACAAAGCACCACGCACACCTGCCCTTTCAGGACCCCTCATGGTCCTGGGAGACCTGGGGTCATCATTTCCATTTTACAGATGAGAACATCGAGGTATAGAGAGGGTTAGTTACTGCCACAAGGTTACGTGCTGGGAAATTAAAGAGCAAGATCTTTAGCCCAAACCATGTGATGTTTCATCCTGAGTCCCGTGTTTTTTCCCATCTGATGGCATCGTGGTGGCAGTGGGAATTAGAGAGGCAGCTCCATGCTCCAATGGGCTGGGTAACCCTCGCCCCTTCTGGCTAGAATTCTGCCCTCCAATTATTTAAGGGACTCAGCCCTCGCCACCCTGCCTCTCTCTTTCCTCCCTCTCCCCTGGGACTGACGTTTGTAGTGAAACTGTGCAGCTGGTTGAGACAGAGGGGCAAGGGAGGAAAGATCCCTGTGTTGGAGTTAGACAAATTTAGGTTCAAGTCCTGCTTTGCCCTACCCCTCTGTGAGTGGGAGAGACTCACGCCTTCCTCAGCAGGTATGGGTGAGGGTCCTGGGCCCAAGCCTCTCCCCACGCAGGGCCTGGCTTTGGGAATCACGTCACCTCCCCCAGTCCCCGCCCCTCATTGAAAACCCTGACTTTATCCAGGTGTTGGAGGGACAGTGCCAGTGGTAGAGTCTTTCCCACTGAGGTATGAATGACTGACACCCACTTAGCCTTCCCTGGAGAAAGAAGAAAGAACATTCCTGGCACCATGTTGCCCACTGCCTGGAATGGCCGTAGGAAAACCCAGGACTCGGGTTTCCCAGTCTTGCATTTTCCACTGTGGGGCGAAACTGACAGATGTTCTTTCTGCCATGCATTTTCTTCTCAGTGGGAGAGAGAGAACCACACCTCAAATGAAGAGTAATTTTCCTCTGTCCCAACTCACTTTGCTACCCACTGCCTCCTGGGCTTGTGCCCCAGCTCAAAAATGTTTTCCAGGGTCTGATGGCTTTATGCCTCCTCCTCCCTCTGGAGAGAAATGGGGTCCACATTGCAACAGAGAAAAAAAAAAAGATTGGTTCATGAATCCACGTCCCTGCCTGGACCAGAAGCTTCTCTCGGTGGCTGAGGCCCTGAACAGAGTGCTCACTCTTCCACCAACCCCCAACCTCATTGCCTCTGTCCCAACCACATGGCCTTTCTTTATCTTCTCCAACAGGGCAGACTTGTTCCTACCTCAGGTCCTTTGCACTTGATCCTCCTTTGTCTGGAGTGCTCCACCCCACCTATAACCTTCTCAAAAACTACCTGCTCAGAGAGGCCTTCCCCAACCACCTTGCTAAGGTAGAAATCCCTCTCCACTTCCACCGCCCCCTAGCCACTCTTATTACAGCACCTGGTTTATTGCACAGCATTAATCCCTGCCTAAAATTATCCTGCTTCCTAATTTGCCTACCCTATTACCTTCCCCTTCCTTGGCCTTTTGTTCTCGCCATATCCCCAATAACTAGTACAGTGTTTGGAACATGCTAGGTGCCCATTGAAAGTTCAGGAACAGATTAAACCCGGAATGGATCCTAAGAGTTGTTGAGTCCAGCCTCCTTGCTTTACACATGAGTAACCTGAGGCTCAGAGAGAGGATGTGAACTCCACATGGACACACGGCGAAGAAACTGTACAGCTGGAAGGCGACTCCAGCATGGCCAGTTTCAGAAGCCTGTGCTCTCAGGGTGCTGATGACCTGGAACCATACGCCACCCACCAGGCACCCTCTTCCCTTAGACAATTTCCTCACAATTTCCTCACTGGGCCCCAGCTGTGCTGGGTTTTCAACTTCCCACCCATGGCGCTGAGGCAGATGTGGACAGCGGGAGCCTCCGGGACCATGTGACAGACAGCTGGCTGCCCTGGGGAGTTCTTTGGGCTTTCTCTTGGATGCTGACCTTTTCATCCATCAGCTTATCTCTTGAATCTCTGCCATTCCCATGAGATCCTGCTGCCCTTCCCATCCGCCATCTCCCAGGGAGCCCCACCCCGCTGCTCTGGGATGGGGGCCCCCCTCCTCGAAGGAGGAAGGCCCAGGGTCCTGGTCCTAGGGAAGGCCAGTCCTCCAGGGCAAAGCCTAGAATTGCAGCTTGTCAGCCAAAATGGAGCTTTTTCTCCCTTCTGAGAGCAGAGCAAGCAATGGCCCAGCCGCTGTCTGACCTTTAGGACAAGTGGGAGCACTTTAGTGGACTGGTGTGTGTGCTTAGTGGATACACATGTTTGCACACACATAAGCAGACACACACACGCATGCAAACACACACGAGTAGATTTTAGGAGGGCTTCGGAGACTGGGGGCTGTTCACAGCATCTCCCTGTTCCAGAATATGCCTGAAAGCTCTTCAGTGAGGAAAGGCTTGCACTTCCGAAGGGCAGTGTTGCATGGTGGTTAAAGGGATGCCATAGCCTGTACGGACTGGACTCCAAGCCCTGCTCCTTGTGAGCTGAGTGACCCCGGGCGGGTCCCCTCACCTCTGTATGCTGTCATTTCCCATCTGTTAAATGGTTAAATCCCATATGGGTGTTGTGAGGATTAAATGAGTCCAAATGTGCCTCACACATGGTGAACATTATCTAAGATATCTGAACGTTAGCTATTGTTGTTGTTATTTCAAAATCAGGAAGAAGACCGGAAGTCCTTTTTCTTTCTCCTGGGAGAGAAAACTTTGAGTCGAAGGGCAGTGGCTGAGTCAGAAAGAGGAATGGCCTGGGACAGCTAGGGCCGGGGTTGATTCCTGGTGAGCCCCTGGCAAGCTGTGTGGCTGTGGGAAAGTTGCCTCCTCTCCCTGGCCTCAGCTTCCTCATGTGGAATGTGGGGGCAGTGACATCAGCTGGGTCACCCCGTGGGGTAGCAGGAAGGAGTCAGTGTGACCGTGGACATGGGCGTGCATCAGAGCCTGCCTTGTGTTAGACAACCGTTGGCCTCATTGTGAAGAGACCACCAGCCCACGTTACCCAGGTTGAGTTTGGTGCAGTTCCCGTGGATCACTGGACACTTGTACACGTCTCCCGTCTTCTGGTGGCCATTGGTTTCCAGTGGGGCTCCCACGACCAGCCTGGGAAGGAAGAGAAGATGAGCAAAGACATTGGGGGAGGTACTCCTTCCTGGCAGAGGATGGAGCCTGGTGGGCAATGTGGAGTGAAGTTGGGTGGGGAGGGTGGGAGGGAACCCTGGAGGTGTGAACACACGCAGATCCTCAGCCTGGGACCACTGTCTCCCTAGGGGAGGGATGCTGGGCTTTCAGCATAAAGTCATGGGACCTGTGGCCCATTCTAGGCCGTTGCCTAGGTACAGAGATGAAGACCACACGGGCTCCGCAACAAATGGGATGGAGGCAAATCCCTGGTGGAGGAGGGGACAATGTTTGAGCTGGATCTTAAGGGATGAATATTTTATCAAATGACAAGAGAGTGGTAATGGAAGTCATTCTGACAAAGGAATGATGTTTCTGGAACCACAGAGTCTCGACCATCTGTCATTACCTGAAAGGGGCCTCATTCTTCATCTTATAGGGAAGCCTTTAAGCTGGTGCCCCAGAGTGGGTCAGGGTGGACAAGGCAGCCAGTGGGCGGAAGCTGCCGTGCAGCGGGGGCTCCTGCCTTGAGCCTATGCCTTTGCAACCTTCCTTGGAGAAAGTGTCTTTGCAGATGTAACTAAGTTAAGGTTCTTGAGTTGAGATCATCCTGGATTATCTGAGTGGGCCCTAAATTCAATGCCAAGTGTCCTGAAGAGGAAACACAGAGGAGAAACACGGGGAGAAGAGAGACCTGAGAAGACAGAGGCAGAGTTAGGAGAGATGCCGCCCCAAGCCAAGGAGTGCCCGGGGCCACCAGAAGCTGGAAGAGCCAAGGAAGTATTCTCGCCTAGAGCCTGCGGAGGGAATGTGGACCTGGTGCTGCTGCAATTCAGGCTTGCGTCCTTTAGGACTCAGGGAATGCGTTTCTGTTGTTTTAAGCCACCCAGGTTGTGATCATCTGTTATGGCAGCCCTAAGGAACTAACGCACCTGACTGACTTACTTACATGTATCTAGGGAAAAGTGAGCAGCCACTCCTTCCTGGCCCAGCCAAGCCCCGGTGACCGTGCCCTGGAGGAAAAGCCTGTGACCTTGGAGGTGTGGCTGTGGACTCACCCCCCTTGATGCTGGGGAGAGTTCTACCTCAGACTGGAGGGTCCCCAGGTCCTCTCCTTAGTGCTCCCCAGGGCCCTCTATGCCTCATCTCTCACCCAGCAGAAAGCAGCTCCATCACGGGGGCCCAGAGTGTCCCAAGATTCTGACCTGCCCACTGGGTCTGAGGCACGTGACTCTGGCACACCTGGGGTCCTCTAGGCCTTGGGTGCCGGTCTAGTTCTCTACTCAGGCCATATACTAACAGTGGCTAAGAACAGTAACCCTCCCCAGGGACAGTGGTACTGTGTGGGAGGGGACACCACAGCCCACAAGAGCCCTGAAAGGCTTTCAATCCCGAGGGATAGAGAAGAGATGATGGTGGGATCTGGCACACAGGGACAGGTGGGACTTTCTGGAGCTTTTTAACCTTGCTTTTCCAGCAGCTTCCCACTGCCTGGTGACATGGCCCAAAGAAGAAGCTACTGCACGCCAGCTGACTTAGATGGTTGGGAGGAGGTGGCCGGGAGGCTCGGGCTGCATGGGACTTAAGTGGCTTCTTATGGTCCATTGCTCCCCCTGCCCCGGTCCACCTTGACACTGTCAGGAAGGAAAGCCAGGTCTGAAGTGGGAGTTAACAGAACTCTGTTTGAAATTAAGCGTCTATGAAATAAGAGCTGAGGTTTCTCCCCTGGGGAGCCAGATGCTGGCAGATTCTATATATATCCCCTTATTAAGCCTGCCTATTTTTGACTGGCAGAAATTAATTGGACCCATAAAATCTGTTTGTCTAGACGAGGTGATTTTTGGCTACTTAATTCTGCAAGTGATTGTGTGGTCGAGGCTGCTCCATCCTTAAGAGAGAGAGAGGGAAAGTGAGACAAAGGAAGAAAAAGGTCAGTAAGAGAACCCTGGGCTCTAAGCTTACTTCTCTGCGGCTGCTCCAGTTTTCAAGGTTAACTTGACACATGTCCAAGTCTTCCTGAGGGACACGGTCCTCCTGGGCACTTTTGCTGGATAGAGGAGCACCTCTCAGGATGCCTCTGGGAGAATCAGGTGCAGCATGTTCTAGATTAGAAAAGCCATGGCCAGCTGGGTGCAGTGGCTCATGCCTGTACTTCCAGTACTTTGGGAGGCTGAGGCGGGTGGATCACCTGAAGTCAGGAGTTCAAGACCAGCCTGGCCAACACGGTGAAACCCCCGTCTCTACTAAAAAATACACAAAAATTAGCCGGGTGTGGTGGTGGGCATCTGTAATCCCAGTTACTTGGGAGGCTGAGGCAGGAGAATCGATTGAATCCAAGAGAAGGAGATTGCAGTGAGCAGAGATCATGCCACTGTACTCCAGCCTGGGTGACAGAGCAAGACTCCATCTCAAAAAAAAAAAGAAAAAAAAAAAAAAAGAAAGGCAACGAGAAACAGAAGGGGCCATATATATCTAGGCAAGCTATGTGCAAAGACCGGTGACTTCCCAGAAGTCATGTGTCCTGGCAGTGGCTGAGATGGGACAATCTGGCAGTAAATTCACTAAGTCACTGAGACCTCGAATTTGCAATGAGACCGGTTTTGTCCTTTTCAAAGAACAAGGGCCATTCCCTGGGTCCCATCTCCACTCTCCCAGGCCTCATTTCTCTGGGAGTCCATAGTACTTCACGAGGTAGGAGGGCAGCACTTACTGTCCCCATAATACAGATGCAGAAACCGAGGCCCCAGGAGGGGAGCTGACCCAGTCTCAGAGTTGGTTTGTGGCAGGGCCGGGACTGGAGTTCTCCTGGGACTGCTTCCTCTGCATTGTCTCAAATGTTTCTTTGCCATGAAAGGAGGGCCTGGGTCAGCCCTTCTCTTTATTCTTGAGTCTGGGCATTACGTGTGCCTGTTGGGCTTGAGGTTTTGAGGACATGATTCAGTCTCAGTTTGAGGGGATAACTGCCGAAGCGCAGGGAAAATGTTCACGTCACCACTGAGACCAGCCAAATTGCCTGGGGTCTGGCAGCCCCTGCCACCCCCTGTGGCCTCAGCCTTATATAGCCATCTGCAGCCTCAGGGCCTGCTGCGCCTCTCGGGGGCTTGATACCCTATACCTCCTGGCATGGGCACCAGACGGCATGGCAAACCCCAAAGGTCGTTGCAAGCATCCGGCCCTTTCCATGGGCTGTGTGCTGTGAGTCACCGGCTGCGGGCTCCCAGCATTCTTCCTGCAGAGGCGCAGGGAGCAGGGCTTCGGTGGATGGGAAAATGGGCACGAGGCATTCCAGCCACAGCCCTGTAGGACCCTTTCCCTGGTGACCAACCTCTACGGAGGGGCTTGCCGAGAGACGATGCTCGCTGTGGAGACTGCCACTGTGGAAGACTGGACATGGCCCTGCTCTGCGCTGGGCTCCTTGGCTCCTTGCCTGACCCAGGCTAAGACAAAGGACCCCTGACTCCAGCGCCCTCCCACCTGACTCTACCTCACACCCTCTCCAACAAGGCCCTTTGGGGACTCATCCTGAATTCTGCTTATCCTCAGCTCCATTCTTCCAGGCAGTTTTGGTCTCTAAACTTAAAATTCAATCTCCTGTAAGAAAAAAGATGACATGTACCCCTAATTATGTGTAAGTGTATGTGTAAATTATACCAGCATAAACAGTCCAATTTTAATTAACTGTATATTAAATGTTAGTAATTTTATTTTTTTCAGATAAAATATAAACCTAAATAGAACTCACATTATTTTATTTCTGTACTCCAGTATATTGTCCAGCACAGTCCCTGTGGTGTGTGTGTCCCACCCTGGAGACCATCCCTTTAAAATCCAGCATAAATTCCCACCTGCTCCAGGAAGCCCTCGGTGATTACCCTGCCCTTTCTCATATAAACTGGCATGTAATCCCTGCTGTCTGGTGTGGCCAATGTTGTAGTGTCATGATTCCCTGAGGTCTGAGGTGTCCTGGATTGCCCTGCTGCACCAGCGTAGGGTGATCCTGAAGGCACTCAGCAAAGAGGTGCCCAGTGACCTACCTAACCTTCTGTAAGACAGTCTGCAGCAGGAGCAACTGTGGGAGCTTTTGGCTTTGCCTCAGGCCTAAGAGAAGCCCCCGAATTCAATTCTTGGAAAGAGGGTTGCTGAGAAATTGAGTACTTTTCCACGCATAGGAGTTCAATGGGGTGACCCAGCTTCCATGCTAAAGTCAATGTTGACTGCTTCCCTGGTTTCCATTTCCTCCTTCTCAACAGTACTCATTTCTGTTTGAGGATCCAGGGAATCGGACTGTATTCGCAGTCGCAGGGATGGAGCACATAGCTCATGTCAGGACAGTTTATCCCCCAGCTGCAGTGATTGAGTCAGGGTGGGCCAAAGACTTAAACCTCCCCAATCAAAGTGAATCTCAAGACTTGTGCTTGGGATGCAGGGATCAGTGTGGTCTCTTTTCTCTGGATGCCGTAGTGAGTGAATGCAAGGCCTGGAACTGTTGGCAGTCACCTTGTGATGATGAGGGGTATGAGCTGATACATGGACAGCAGGAGAGCTGAGAGAAGCATGAAGAGAAGGAGCTGAAGTCCTGCTGATGCTTTGAACTCCTGGATCAAACTGTACCTGAAGCCTAACTACCACTAGACTTTTCAGACATAGGCACAATGACTACCTTTTACTGCACAGTAAGTCTGTGAGGTTTTAGGTACTTATAAGTGAAAACATCCTAATGTTTAGAGCGTACAAGGCAAAAAAGTGCACATAGTTAAAATTACTCTTAGAAATTCCATATGTTATTATGCTATAAGAAAAACATGGCAACCAAGACCAACGAGGGAGAAGCAGATTCATATTCCCTAGCTCATGGTCCACCTGGGGCCTGGACTTACTGAGTGAGGGGTGGGTGGAATCGCCAGCACCATGTATATTATTTTTCTCTTGTTGTTTAAGTGAATGCATAGAACTTTCCCCTGGCCCAGACTTGTAGGAACAGA